ATCTAGAGCGAGTGAGCACGTGAGACAGAGATTGTTCTCCAAACCAAAAGAGACCTTCGGAAAGTCTCACTTCAAACTCAAAATTTGACAGCTATGAAAGTGTGTGTATAAGTTTGAAGTAGGTAATCCTTATAAATACTTTTTTCACATACACTGTAAAAATGGTTGTTGTTTTTTTCAAAATTTGTTACCAATCTTGACATTTTTTCTTTTGTCAAATGAACATAATTAATTTATTTAGTTCAGATAACTTATTATTTTGAGTTTCTGATGATTAAATCAATCTCCTCCTTTCTTAACTCACTTTTTCCAGTTCAATCAACTTAAAATTTTAGGGCAACCAGGCTACTTAATTTTTTTAATTAAACCAACAATATTTTTTACAGTGAGTAGGGAAGTTTTTGATTTCTGATACATCCATTGTATTCGAAAAAAGTAGGTGAAAAGACCCTGTATGAGCTACTTCTTCTGACAAGATTCTGAAGTGAGCATTCGATGGACATTTTACTATCCCATGAGGCCACTGGAGAGGATTTGTGAATGGCAGTGAAGCGGCACAACTCACGCTAGTTACAAAGTAAATTCAAATGTTGTACCTTAGACAAGTATGCTATTTCAGACACAGCGATAGTCCATTTGCTTTGCGTTTAATCACATTGCTGCTTAGTAGAGACAACTGATATATATTAAAGAGATCTCAGTTGTGTTTTTGCTTCCGATGGGACGCAACGAGCCCAGTTTTCAGCTCTAGTGAGGTCCATTCACACATGTGCGATCACTTTAAATATAGAACATCTCAGAAGAGGAGGTGGAGTGTGCTTCGGTTTTTCCTCAGTTCCTCTACTCTTTCAGTCAGTGCTCTACCGTTGTGACCTACTTCCCCTCTTTCCTTGACCCACTTCCTGCACTTCCACTCGCTTCCGCCGCCGGTGCCAGTCTCAACCAGGGCTCTTGTATAACAAGCTGACACACACACACACACACACACACACTTCGAGCCGGATGGAGTCAGAGACTAACTGTCTCTCTTCAGTCTGTGGGTGGCACAGACAGAGACTACATGTCCTTGGCAGGGAGCTATTGTGTTCACACTCTTTATGGAAGGCGATATCAATGTGTCAGGCCTTGGAGTGGAACAACATGGCAGGCCGACTCATTGAGGAGAAAGAATCTGCTTTAGTTCAGATCCTTTCACTGAGCTTATGAAATGAGCTCAATAAAGGTTTTTTAGTGATTCCAGGCTTGTTTTAGCTTGATCGTATACTTTGTGCCTCAGTTCTGAATGAATAGCAAGGACCGGATGAAAGAAAACACCAAGATTAGATTGTATTGCATGTATGTATTTGACAGATGCATTTATCCATCTTTTTTTTTTTTTTATTGGCAAAAGATAATTGCAAATAAGCATTCAGCATTTGATTTTCCCTACTATTTGAGCTGAGGTGTTTATTTCAGGGTATAGCGTTGAGATTAAAATGCATTTTTTAAATTAGCAAGTATCCTGTCAAAAATATCCCAGCAATCACACATGTGGTCATGTGCCTAAAACTCTGAAATAAACGAACAAATGAAGAGTTCAGATGCAAAAGCCTCTAAATGCCATTTGAAATTTTCTTCTTTAATGATGATTTTTATCAAACTTGTATATTTATGTTCAGTAATTTCACTTAAATAACAATTAATAGGTAATTATCATTGCCATTTAAGTGAAATCACTGAACTTAAATATACAAGTTTGATAAAAATCATCATTAAAGAAGAAAATTTCAAATGGCATTTAGAGGCTTTTGCATCTGAACTCTTCAAATATATATTTTATGTATATATAAAATTAAAAAATATATATATTATTTTTATTTATAAAAAAAATATTTTATAAATTAAACTTAAGTTAATATTAAAAAACTGAAAAATCTAAAAAATAAAAAAATAAAAAATAAAAGTTAATTCAAAATATTCACTGTAAAAAAAGTAACCTGGTTGCCTTAAAAAAGTTAATTGAAATAGAAAAAATTACTTAATATTGAAGGAGATTCATTTAATCACCAGAAACTCAAAATATTATGTTATCTGAATCACATAAATTATCTAAGTTTATTTGACAAAAGAAAAAAATGTTGTGATCTCAAATCACAGTGATAAAAGTAGATAAAGTCTCATATACGCCAAAGTTTGAAAAAAAAGTTTGAAATGTTGTCAAACATTTCTCAACAAATGTCCATTGGCAGATGGAACATCAATACGATCTAAGAAAAATGTCAAGTTTTTGATTTGACATCAATTTTTACTAAGCTTTTCTCTGAATCCGGGCATAGTTTATTGCATATGATGGCCGGATTATTGCATGAGACCCAATTTATGAGTCACTCACAACTGTATATTTTACCTTTATAGGACTGTATCCAGCTCAATAATCTCACTTATGTCCACAATTGTTTCATTTGCATCTTATTTCATTGCTTTATATCTCAGTTAAGTCTCCTGACTTATGAAAGAGCAACATCAGAGCAATAGCCTTCTCCTCTGGGTGGGCTTTGAAGTGCTTGTGCAGAGTTTTTCCTTATTTCCCTTCGGAGAAGAGTGGCATACTGTCCATGCTGCTGAAGCAGGATATTGTCTTTCAAGTCTTCCTGTCTCAGTCTGCTGACCAATGAGACAGAACCGACTGCATGCACTTGATAACCCGACTCTGGGAGTGTGTGGCGCTGAGGAACACACACACACACACATGCCTTTGAGCTCACTTGATGAAAAAACACAAACACTGGGGAATTAGCAGGAAAAAAAAAGCGGCATTCCACAGATGCCATGGCTTCCTGAAGGACGCAGGCAGCGTGACCTTTCATCTGTTTGTTTCATGTGTGTGTGTGTCACGAGTCTGAATGAACTCAAAGGAAGCACTTTAATGAGGGGGCAACTTTTCACCAGGGAGGGTCTCAAGCACAAACACAGGAGCGGAGTGAACACATTCACAGCATTTAACACTCATTTCCTCATCCATTATGGATACAAACATGATACTTATCAGCACTTTAATGGGATAGTTCACTTTGAAATTTGTTTTTGGTATGTTTTAGCTACTCAAGGGCATCCAAGATGTAGGTGTGTTTGTTTCCGCAGTAGTTTCAATTTTGATATTTTTTGGTCAAACCGTTCGTGTCTATCAGTCATATAATGGAGGTCTATGGTCACCACCTCAAAGAGCATGCACAGAGAAGTCCAAATTAAACATGATTTAATGACTCGTAAATGTAAGTACACATTGATGGCCCAAGACACGAAACGAGCGGTTTGTGTGAAAAAACTAACAGTCACGTCCAACTGAGGTTACAAGAGGTAAAAATGATATACTGTTCGTATTTGACAGACAAGAAGGGTTTGACCTAAAAATGTCAAAATGGATGCCCTTAGCTAAAACATGCCAAAAATGTATTTCAAAGTGAACTATCCCTTTAAGACATTGTAAATGAACTCCAATGAACTCAGTGTGATGAGAGTAGGCTACTGTTACTGTTTGAATGTTGAGAAAGTTCTTCTCTTTTAAGGGACCTTGTAGAACAACAATAGCAAAAGCTATTTGAGTACACAGGTTCTAGGAATATAGTTCACAGGAAGCATCATTTACAACTTTCCACTGAGATCGTTTGCATAATTGCTTTGTCCTGGGTATATTTACTTTTTTGTGCAAGCATCTGCAGCTGTTGTTATTTTTAACCTTTTTATTATTAATCATTCTAATAATAGAAATGTTAACGTTGCATGTGACTCCTAATCTCCTATTTAATAAGATTAGGAGTCACATGCAACGTTAACATTTCTATTATTAGAATGATTAATAATTTAAGTTGATTTGACAAAAGAAAAAATTTTGTGATTACAAATCATGAACATTTTTACAGTGTACTGTACTACATTATAATAATATTATAATGTAGTACAGTACACTGTAAAAATGTTCATGATTTGTAATCACAAAATTTTTTCTTTTGTCAAATCAACTTAAATTATTAATGTGGTTCAGATAACATATTTTGAGTTTCTGATAATTAAATTTCCTTCATTGTATTATTAACTCAATTTTTCCATTTCAATGAACTTAAAATTTTAAGGCAACCAGGTTACTTATTTTTTTAAACCAACAATATTCTTTTTACAGTGTAGTATTTATTAATATTTTCAGTTTTTAACTCAAGTTTTAGCAATTTTGTTATGTTCCTTTTTTATTATTTATATCTATATAGCTTTCATTAATATTAATGAAGATTTTTTTACATTATATACATAAAATATATAATTGTTTGTTTATTTCAGAGTTTTAGGCACATGTTTTAGACACACACACACACACAAAGTACTTTTACTGTATTAACAATCACCTTTCTAGTAAATGCATGCATTTTTTGTGGTTTAACAGAGTGATAAAGCTTTAGTTATTTCAATTCTTTTAAATAAAAAAAGTGGAAAAAAATAATACGTTATAATAAAATTAGGATTTGTACATAGGCTTATACCATAAAGCATAAAGAAAGTCTTTATTGAAAAAACAGAAAAAGTTCTGCTAATAATAATTTATTAACATGAATATAGCGATATAGGTTGCAAGTATTTCAGTCAGACCTAAGCAGAGCACCCTGATTTATATGTGACTGCTGCCACCTAGTGTTTAGTCTGGGGAACTGCGAAATTACATTTTCATCAGTAGCCTACTTTGTAATGCATAATGGGTAACTTATCTTTAATCACATAGTTAATTAATCACATTTATTTTATTATGTTATTTATTACAATTATATTCATAGGTAATTATGTATAGATCATGACAGTATTTATTTTACTGATTTTAAATGATGGCGATTTCTTTAAACAAAATTCAAATAGGATCCAATGAGAATCTATGAGGATAATCATCAGGAGGTAACAAAGTTCTAGAACTTTGGTAGCAGGAGATTATGGAACCTTTAGTTTCAGTTTTAGTTTGAGAATATAGTCGTTGTATAGATCAAAATATTTAACTAAAATATGCGTCTCCATCTAATAAAACTCGAACCCCATTGGTCTGCTCCTCTGCACCTGTCCTTCATTTCAGCCAATCACAGCGCGACCTCACGCACCTCCAAGATGGCGACGTCCATCCAGAACCGCTGTAGGCACATTCTGTGTTGGCAAAATACTCGCGATAACTAATCAAAACAAAGTCATTCACAAGCGGCAATACAACTAATCATATCGTTTTCGCCTTTGGATATCTGCACATGTCAGTTGACGGGGTGGTGTTCGGTTTCATGGCTGTTTCGGAGTGAAATTGGGCGTCCTCTCGCCATGGCCACCGACAACAGGATTCATTTCTGGAGGAGAAACCAAAAGATTCCCGGGAGGTGAATTTGATCATTTATTTCTTTTTATAAAGTAGCTTTAAAGTGTGTTATTTTATTGTTAGAAGTCATGTTATATTAAAACATCGGCTCTGACCAGCTGTTTTGTTTCCTGGACTCTGTGCATGTGTGTCAAACCTGACAGTATGCTTGGCATCCTATACGTATGTTGCGTTTTTGGTCATTAAAGATGTTGTAAATATCGAAATTAGGTATTTAGATTATTATAGATTATTTAGACATGTTATGAAACCACTCATCGTAGCGAAGTTAATGCCAACCATAACAAAAGTTCCACCTAACAAAACAGTTGCCACCTAACTATCTTATTGTTATTAGAACTTTGAAACTATGGTAACTTTGGTTAAGGCTCCTTTGTCATCAAAAAGCTTACACTAGATGATGTCCAAATAATTTGGTCGTGATGTTAATAATAATTATTATTATTACTGAATGTACAATGCTATCAATGTACTAGCCTATACAATGGTTGCAATTGTAATTTATAGGGAAACACAACTTCCTGCCAAGTTTTGGTTGTTTTCTAAACACTATTTAATTAAAAGCTCTTAAAGCTGGCATGCAGGTTTGGCCTCTTTGTCTTTGCTGGAGCTTTTGTTTAGTCTGACTCTGGACAGTTTGTTGAGTGTGCTTCGTTGCAGGTTGTTTGGATTTTAGTGGTCACAGACAGAATCAGTTCATCTGACTCTGCGTGAATGTGAGCTTTTGATGACTGGACAGTTTTCTGTAGATCAGATTTTATATTGGGCTATTACATAATCTTGCAAAAGAGGAACTAAAGAGTAACTCTCGTGAAGAGGATTCACTACTGCTACTGTAGCCTACTGCAGTCACGGACATGTTTACATTGCATTTCTTTGCCATTATGGGGGTATACTTATTTCTAGCCATGTTACAGTCTGTTTTTGTTACAGTTTGTTTAAATTCAGATATGTTTATTTCTCTTTTACCCTAAAACAGGATTGATCATTAAAAAATAATTTCATGTAATTTTTAATATCATCTGGACTTAAGTAAAACATATCCAAAGGAATGTTTAAAATATTTGATATAGTTTGGATTTTATGAGTTGTATCTCCCGGGTCTATTATATTTATCCTACAATACTGTATTTTATTTTATTTTTTTAGAATAAAGGTACGATTAATATATGCCTACTTTATACAAAGTCAAAATGTCCAGCGTCTGGATGGACATGATGGCTTTAGGTCAAACTGACCAAACGAGGACAGAAAATTTGAACCAAGTCATGTGACCCACATACGCCAAACAGACTCAACTATGATATTGACAACAATACTGGATGAGAAATTTTTCTCCTGCAAGAGACTAAACAAAATGCATCCCACGGTACACATTGTCTGTTTTAGGGTTAAGATAGCATGAGTTGTGTTCATTGAAATATTCTTATCAATTGCTATGATCTGGGTATCTGGAAGTTATTGTCAGAAGGTTTTGTTTAGGTTGTTAACTTGACATTGACTTTTAGTCCTAGATCTTGTTCTTGTCCAGATTCCTGAGCACATAGTGAGTCTTTTTTTTATTAAAGTCCCCTTGAAAGGGAAGTTGCGATAATGTTTTCTTCTCTGTTGTGACGTATACGAGTGAAGCGGCTTCTCATTAAATATCGAGAAAAGTCGTTGTGTTTCGAGAAAAATGTCGAAATACAATCTTGAGAATAAACTCATTAAATATCGAGAATAAAGTCGTTGTATTTCGAGAAAAAACTCGCTAAATTTCAAGAAAAAAAGTTGAAATACAATCTTGAGAATAAATTCATTAAATATCAAGAATAAAAGTTGTGTTTCGAAAAAGTTTTCTTCTCGAAACATGACTTTTATTTTTTTATTCTTTATATTTTATTTAACGAGTTTTTTCTCCAAACACAACTTTCAAAAACAACTTTATTCTCGATATTTAATGAGTTTATTCTCAAGATTGTGTTTTGACTTTTTTTTTCTCAAAATTTAACAACTTTTTCCTTGAAATTTAACGAGTTTAATCTCGCATTATAATGACTTTAATCTCGAGATGGTTTTATTTTATTATTATTGCTTGGCCCTAATCCTGTTCCGTAAATAAAAGTACCAATTTCTTTAAAAAAAAACTAAAAAAACAAACAAAAACAATCATGCTGAGCCCAAAATTTTGATATGTCGCATATGTTATTTATATGGTAGTGGTAGCTCTAAAAAAGTTGTACTTTTACTTTCATGACCTCATCATTACAGAAAGTTTAAGTTGCGGTATAATGAGAAGATCATAATGTAGATGATGTTAAAAACAGATGGATGGGAAAGATGACCCTGCTGTTATTGTTTGGGCGTGGTTGTTATCCAGACGGTTTGAGTTGCTTGTTCAGGTGAATCTGCAGCAGTTGGAGGAGACGCACCACACACACACACACACACAGTTGGTGTGTTCCTGCTGTAACAGTGGTAGAGAGGTGTGGTCACTTTCCTCACCATTTATCTCATTCAACAGAAGGGACAGAGCATGCAAAACTGATACCACATGCCCCCAGACAACCTTGGTGTCTTCTCGGTCAAATAACATGAGCCACAGTTGTATAAAGGCTAGGGTTGTTATGTTACAAACATTTTTGCAGTCTGTTCCAGTAACAGTGTGTGGTTCTTTGTATCAATTTCAGTACTAGAACAAAAACTGTTGAATTAAAGGTACAGTATGTAACTTTTCTCACTCTAGCGATTAATAAACTACTGCATTTGTCTTGAGGAAGAACATATTAGCCGGAGCTACTTTTCTCTGTTTATGTGTACGTCGAGTCATGCAGATACAGGGCTACTCCCTCCCAGCCGTACCGCTCGACAGGAGTCTCCGCTAAGTGTCACAGATTTATGTGAACCAAACAGATGGAGCGCAATAGAATTGGAGCATAAGAATTCTGACAAAAAAAAATGTTTTGTTAAAATATTTGTTGTTGGACAATGTCATTTAGAATTTTAAGTGTATTTTTATAGCAGTAACTGTAAAGTGACTATTGAAATGGGGTAATAAAATAGCCAAATATAATTACTTTGTTCCTTTTACTTTTTTTCATTTTTAGTGGATTTAACTTCTACTTTAAAAAGCATTATTTTTGTTTTTAGATTGTAATGTTACAATGTTAGAAAGTAATGTGATTTTAACTCTTTTTTTGTACACATGCAGTAAGAGCCTACATGGTTACATTCACTATAATTGTTTTCATAGTCTTCGATATGATCATTGTTTTTTGGAAAACATTAAACGGGATGTGAAAATAAATGTTTGTACCCAAATAATATCTTAAGAATCTTGAGAATAAACTCATTAAATATCGAGAATAAACTCGTTGTGTTTCGAGAAAAAACTCGTTAAATTTCGAGAAAAAAAGTTGAAATACAATTTTGAGAATAAATTCATTAAATATCGAGAATAAAGGTCTTGTGTTTTGAGAAAAAAACTTTTCCCACTTTTTTCCCCCTGAAATTTAACAAGTTTTTTCTCCAAACACAACAACTTTATTCTCGATATTTAATGAGTTTATTCTCAAGATTGTATTTTGACTTTTTTTTCTAGAAATTTAACGAGTTTAATCTCGCATTATAATGACTTTAATCTCGAGATGTTTTAAAGTCGAGATGTTTAATCTCGAGATGTTTTAAAGAATAAAGTCCTTGTGTTTCGAGAAAAAACTTGTTAAATTTCGAGTAAAAAAGTCTAAATACAATCTTGAGAATAAATTAATTGAATATCGAGAATAAAGTCATTGAGTTTCGAAAAAAACTTGTTAAATTTTGAGAAAAACGTTGAAATACAGTCTTGAGAATAAATTAATTAAATATAGAAAATCTTCGATATGATAATTTTTTGTTGGACAACATTAAACGGGATGTGAAAATAAATGTTTGTATCCAAAGAGAAAAAAGTAAAATATGTCAACCATATATCGCCATTTACCCAAATAATACAGAGATATGTTTTTTTTTCCCCTTATCACCCAGCCCTACCACTCGGTCTAAGATAATTTGAATAAACACTTATTGTAGGTGTATACCCTAGGGATTCAGGATAAGAAGTATTCATGAGGAACTGTACTCATTAAATGCATTTTGAACAAATCAGTTACATACTAACTGTACCTTTAAATTTTTACAAATAAAATTTGTCCCATTTCGTTGGTTATCACGGTCAGTCGTCGCAGTTTCCGGTTCAATCATGGTTGTCAATCCAGAAACTTTGCAGTGTACTTAACAGCATGAAAACCTAAACTTGTGTTCATATTGTGAATGGGTAATAAACAGAAAGCAAGTTATAAATCTAAGGCTGTCCATCTCGAAAGAGCAAGCTCACTGCATTTTGCACTGAAAACTCCTGTTGTAATAAAACTCTTAACTGTACAATAAATCTCTTATTTACATTGTGTTTACACGGTGTGCGGCTCATGTTGAACAAAGCACAACCTCATAAGGTTTCAGTCGTGTGAAACCCTTTCTGACTATTACTGACTAGCACCTCTGATAGGCAATTTAATTCAACAAATTGATCGTGATTGACTGCAATGCTCAACGCTTTAACAAACACTCTGTAAATGGAAACGTCCATCAGCGGGCACCGAATCTACCCGGTACTTGGTACTACCGGTACGGCTCAGCAGTGCTGTCACAGAAAGACACAGCAAGTGCTGTCTGTTGATGGCTGAATTATGGACTTGTTTAATTCACTTTAGTAAAATTCCCATTAAGGGAAATGAATAATTACATTTATAGCTTTTCCACTATGTTAGCTTTTGTATGTAGATTATAGTGTGGAACAATTATGTGTGTGTGTATTGCAGAAGGAACACCACAAGTCTAAGATAACGCTGCCCTCCGGCAAGCTGCTCGTTTATTCAAACGCACTCCTTGCTCACAGCCTACTATTTAATGCAAATGCAAACGGCTTGCTTACATATCTGGAAGTAATTTACCTTTTATTTTGTTCACTCATAAAAATTGATGAGCCATATTTCAGCTGCATTGTGTTTTTGCCAATTATTCTCTGGTCCCATTTGCACATAATGCTTTAGTGTTGTGTTGATTTCAACAGAAAAGGGTCTTATAACAACCATGCCGTTAATTTTCCTTTCAACAATATGACCACACGTATGGCCCTGTGTTGCCCGTAAAAATTCTGCTTAGCACTGCAGTCTTGGACTTGTCTCACCATTGTGCAGAATATTGCACAGTAACTCATGATAGCCTCTAATATTGTAGAGATTCATTTTTATATGTTGTTGTAATGTGGAGGGCCCTGTAGTGTGCTTGACTGGTAATTTGAGATGTATTTTTTGCGGTCACCAAGGACCAGTAGGTCTATCCTCTTGCTCAGGATTTGTTTTAAACTACCTTTACTTCTCCGGATTTTGGTTTTTGCTGCGTGTTGTGTTTCTGACCAGTGCCGAGGTATGTATTGATTATTCATAGAGCTCCAGACTAACATTTGAGAGCAGTAGCACCAGTGCCACTAAGTTCAACAGATGGTGGCGCCAGCACCTGATTTGGTACCGATGGGAAAAATTTGTCATTAAAGTTCATTTTAATCATAAAATTACTATAGTTTTGCACTAGTAAGTGCAGGTACTAATTGGATTGAACACTGAACACATTTGGAGTAGGATTTACTTGAAAAAACCTTGCTAAACGATCTCACTCAGAAAATGCTAGTAAATTTACAAAGATTTGCCAAGTAAAAACCTAAACATATTTATCAGTAGCTTTAATTAGAAATCTTTAAGTTAAATTTACTTGGAATGTTGAATTAAGTAAACTTTACAAAAAATAAGTAATTTTAACTCGGCTTATAAAAGGTTGATTAATACCGATTTCCGTTGCCTTTGTATTTAAATTTCACTAAAATAATTATCTTGAATTTTATTAGTCATTTATAGTATGTTCTTTACTTAGATCATCTAAGTAATTTATATATACATCATGTCAGACTTTAATCCTTATGTGAATGCAAACACCTCAATACTTGGTAGACAATACACAATGGTGGTAACATTTGATGGATCGTTTTTGTGTTTGAATGTGTCGTTTTAAGCAAAAAGTTTCCTCGAAATGTCACAAAATGGCAATTTACTAATACTGAAATCAAAAATCAATGATAAAACAGTGTAAATACAGCTGGAAACCAGTGAAAAATGAACCTCATTAATTATTCAAGGTCCAGTGCATGATGGGAACCCCAGTATCAGAAAAGTTGAGTAATTTTTACTTAATTTTATTGAGTTGATATTACACTTTCATTTATACTCGCTTGAAATAAGTACTGATATGGAATTTACTTAGTTTTTTAAATTCTTGCCTGAACTAACTTTTTCAAGTAAATTACGTTGGGTTTTTTCACTAGTATTTACTTAACCAAAAAATCATTTTTTACAGTGAATGTTTGTTAATTGGAAAACTGACAGTAATGCACTGAGCTTGAATTGATATGCAGATAAAATTAACTTTTAGTAACAAGTCACGTGCAAAAACCAAATACAAATTTTTATTGAGGAAAATGTAAATATACTCTAACTCTTATTAAATGTAACATTTTCTAGTATCATACTGAACTGACCGACAGCTTCAGTGATTTTTAAAAGTAGAGCTCTTTAGTTATTTACTGTGTAATTCAGTCACAATTTGAAGAAATGTTTTTGTTTTTCATGAAACTTTGGGACTTCCTTTTTTCCAAATATTAGGGAGGGAAATGTCTAATCAATTGGGTATAGTGGTATGGAAATTTCATATATATACACACATAAAGTGCACACATATACATGCATAAAGTGAAAGTGATTGTTTGCCACAAAGCCACAAAGTGTTACAGTAGTTTTCCTACATCTTTGAACTTAGGTTTACAAATGAACACATTAAAAAATAACCATAAAATTGGAGAATATTTAGATCTTTGAACTGAAGTGCTGGATAAAGCTGTTAACCAAACTTACAATTAAATTTCATATTTGAAATCATCAATAAAATCAGACTTGACCTGCATCATCCTGCATCCGATCCTTACTAGACCAGGCCCCATGTTTTGGCACACATATGATTCGCAGATTAATTACTTATAGTTTAACCATCATAGGGTGAAAGTTTGTGAAAGTGAAAAATTATCTTATCCTATATGATCCGAACTATGAGTTTAGTGATCTTTAGCACCACTAATCATAAATCTTGTTTTATGCTCAAAAGGCATTAAAAAGTGTATATTTTAGGCATGTTAGCCGCCATATTGTGTGTTGCAGTTTCCCCTCATCCATAGTGTAATACGAGTGAACCGTCTATAGACTTTGATTCTTTGCATAGTCTTTGAATATCTGTGACATTATCTTCCAAAATGTCCAGAATACAACATAGAACTCACTGCACACTACTGTATCTCATAATGCAGTGTACTTATGTTACTTGACCTTCAATTTCATTGTAACTGTTGAGATTTGTGATCAGTTTCCCTATGGCGAGCTAGGGGAAAAGGTCGATAAGAAAAATGGAAATTATACATTTTTTTTTTTTTAGGATTAAACCTAACCTCCATTCAAAAGTAATATTATGAAATATTATTGCAATTCAAAATACTAGTTTTCTATGTAATATATTTTAAAATGTAATTGAATTCATGTGATGTAAAGCTGAATTTTCAGCATCATTACTCCAGTGTCATGTCACATGATCCTTCAGAAATCATTCTGATATTATTTGCTGCTCAAAAAACATTTCTTACTGTATTCAATGTTAAAAATGGTTGTGTTGCTTAATGTTTATGTTAACCATATTACCTTTTGAGGAGAATTTGATGAATAGAAAATGCTTAAGAACAGCATCTATTTTAAAAATCTTTTGTATTGGTCTTAGTCACTTTTGATCAATTCATTTTTATACATCCTATGAAAGTATTAATTTCTTAGGAAATTTTTTTTTTTTTTTTTTAATTAAAAACGTACTCACCCCAAAATTTGAATGGTAGTATACTGTATATAATGAAGTCATGGGAAAGCAATATAGCATGCTTCTATTTGAACTTGTTGCACAATGCAATCCTTTTTTTACATAAAAAATAAAATAAAGTCATATGTATTCAGTTTAATATTGTGTGAAATGCGGTAAGCTAGTATTTCGTTCTGAACATAGCCGTGCCATTGTCCTTGGCTTACTTTCCTTCCTTATCTTGTGACTCAGAAGAGGGCATCTTTAAGTAACATCTCTGATTTAAACTTTTGGAGTCTTTTTGGAGATTGACATTCCCAGTCCTCATTCTCTTTCATGGCCAGGATATTCCTCAGAAGTTTGCTTTTTTTCATTCCATGGAAGACAGAATATCATATGGTTTTGGAACAACATGAGTTTGTAAATGCATACGTTTTGAGATGTAGTATAGGCTATATAAAATATTGTCATAAGGCTAAAAAGTATTCAGGATCTCCCAGCCTTTTTTTTTGACTCTTTATAGCAAATGTCAGCTTTTGTTTCTCTCAGCTTACAGCCAGTATATGGAGCCCAACACCCTCCTCTGGACCCACGGAGACACCGTCCGTAAGTGCTGCTAGCTGGCGACTGTCTGCTGCGTGCAAATCCGCCATATCTTTTTCAGTTATTTGTTCCTTTACTCTCCTCATTCATGTTTTTTTTTTTTTTTTTTTTTTGCATTTCAGTTGTGGCCCGAATCCATCTAAACATGTTTATTGAGTGCAAGATTTGCATGGACCTTTTGCAACATTTAATTTTTGTTGTTCATTTGTCATGCATTTTCCTTTCTTACTGTAACCCAGCTATATATTATAGAGTGTATGCAATATAGCCGCTTTAAAAAGCAATTTTTTTGTTTTGCTATAGATTAAAAGACACTCCGAAGTCCAGCAGTGTGAACACCAAATCCAAAAAACCTGCAACTTTCCACGAATTTGCCCGGAGCACCAATGATGCATGGGACCTTGATGATGAAGAGGATGACTGTATGTTCAGTCTCAAACAGTCCTCATCTTCCCCTGTCCAATCACGATCTACGCCTCAGACGCCTCGACTCAAACTCTTCAAAGCCCCGGAGGACACAGAGCCATTGCCCCGCCTACCAGACAGGCAGAAACCAATCAGCACAAACCTCGATCAAGATGGACTGGATGTTGAAAGTGGCCCAGCCAATGGCAGGGTGGTGAAGTCCTGTAGCGACGCCCAGTTGAATGTGACTGCAGGTATGCTCTGGTAGCGGTTGTTTTTAAGCTACACTATTGTAAGAAGTAAAATCATTAAGGTGTATCAAATTAGTTTTTTTTTCCCTGCCTGTATTCTGAAAAGTCATCATTACTTAATTGGTGTTTGCTATGCTATACTGCTGTATCAATGACTTTTTGACTGTCCAGTCACAGACTGCTGTAGAGTTGGAAAAACAAGTAATATTTTAGCCATTCTTTAACCTTAAAGAAGCTAGCTTAAGTTTATTAACCTCATCATAATTGAAAAATAACCCTACTTGTTTTTTTACGCAAATTTTACTAAATTTGACCAAAAAAACCTGTAAAACTGACTAAAACTAAAGACATGATGAAATGTGTGTGTATGTATGTATGTATGTATATACATATATATATATATATATATATATATGTGTGTGTATATATATATATATATATATATATATAATGTATGTGTATTATGTACATGTACGTGTGTGTGTTTATACATATATATACACACACACACATATATATACACACACACATATATATATACACACATACACTCACCTAAAGGATTATTAGGAACACCTGTTCAATTTCTCATTAATGCAATTATCTAATCAACCAATCACATGGCAGTTGCTTCAATGCATTTAGGGGTGTGGTCCTGGTCAGGATAACATTTTATATTGTAATTTATATTATTAACACTATAAATTCCCTTTTATGAAGTGTACCACACATGATAACATTTTAGTAAAACATATATAACTGTCTGTCATTTATTTATTTGCCAAACAATGGTCATTTTCTTCAAATATATGTCTGAAGAACATGCAAACATACACGCATATTTTAAGACTTTTACCATACTTAATATTTGTATCTTTCTATCCTGTTTAGCTCGCAATACCCTGCAGAAACAGCAGTCACTTCCTGTGCGTCCCATCATTCCATTAGTTGCCCGCATTTCAGACCAAAATGCCTCAGGAGCTCCTCCCATGACAGTGAGAGAGAAGACTCGACTGGATAAATTTAAGCAGCTACTTGCCAGCCCCAACACAGACCTGGGTAAGCTTTAAAACAAACAATTAGTGGATTCTGCATGCATTAAAAGTAAAAAAAAAAGAGAGAGCGATTAAGGACTCAGTAGGATAAAAAAACAAAAAAAAAAACGGGTCACTTGTGAGTTGCTTGTTAACTTAATTAAATAAAAGATATTAATGTCCGTCCATCAGGACCGTCTCAAAACAGAAAGCCACAAAACCCTCACGTGTGTTCGCACCTCGTTCTCCTGCCTGGGTTTTCAGCCTCTAGCTGAATCTCTTTGCCAGGTGAGACAGTGTGGGATGGCAGAATGGATGAAACCCGTCCATGATGTTATCCTACTCTTCCTGAGTTCATGCTGAGAGGCCCTTCTGTTCCCCCCACGTTCTCCAACCAATCGTCTCTTCGAGTGCACCTGCGAGTTGGCGGAACAAAAACTAGTTTTGCGTGTGCCTTCGCTCGTTTGTGCTGCTGATACTATAATGATGCTATCAAAGAGAGTCACTCTTCTTTGTTTTATAGTTTCAGCCTCCGCAGGCTCTGAGCATTCTGAGCGACAGGCTGAAATCACAGGGGAATGAGAACCATCAGTCATTGGAGGGAAAAAATTATGCTTATGCACGTCTTTCACTGCGCCTTATGAAAAATGTGCTTGTGATATAGTTGGAGGGGGTTCCCTGCACAGTATTCTAGGTTCATAATGGCTTCCGAGATCTTTCATCATTCTGCTATCATATGACTGTTGGCAGGTGTCCAATTCCATTAGTATTTTAGGAGCGCTTCAATATCGGTTTCATGTTTGTTCTAACTCAAAAACGACCCAGGAGCTACACACCAGATGTTTAGGTGCAAGTCTTTTAAGTTTTCATAGACGTTGTGAAAAGTTTTACATTCGCTGATCACGATGACCCGGAGGGCTTGGTGGGAGTTCACAAAAACAATTCTCAAAAAGATAAAAAAGACAAAGGTATTTGGTGTAATGGCATCCACCTGCAATGAAATGGTCTCTTTATAACAATGACAAAATAAGTAATTGAGAATAGTTGAGTTGAAAAGCTCCATTCAATAAAAAAAGGAACAGACAGAGAGAATGGCTTCGATTCAGTGTAATTCATCTGGTTTTCATGACTACAATTATCTCTGTGCTCTATTGTACGATCCGAAAGTACAAAACCATTTTTCTTTCTTTGATAGTGGTGCATGCAAAGGCAAGGATATACCAGTCACACTTTAGTATGTAACTTGTCCTGAATTGTTTATTGATACTTTGTGTGACATGTTAAGGAGGCGTTTGTTTGTGTAAATGATTGAAATTTATTATTGAGCCTAGGGGCTTTTTTTGGCTTGGTGCCGGTAAGAAGCAATCTAGCAACCGCACAGAATACCCTCGCAACCGCATTAAAGATAGCATAGCAAGTTTTGCATCTGAAGAATTTTTGTGATATTGATTATAAACTGGCTTTATTTACTGTCTAGACTATTTATTCAATTGGTCGGAGCTCCTGAATCTCTAGGTTTTTTTGTTCATAGACATAAAAGAGAAGCAACAGGAAGTACACTGGCGAAATCCTTAAAACAGCAATTCACTCGAGAAGCAAAACTGATTTAAACCTATTTTAATATTTTTAAATACTTGTTTAATAATTACGTTTATTTTATTTATCCACTGGCTAATGATGTCTTCTAAATCTATTATAATTTGAGATTTTTACTTTGGCAAGAAACAGCCGATGTGATAAAATTATTTCAGGATATGTTCTCTGAACACTATTGTTAAAGGGTTAGTTTACCTATAAATTTTACTTCTTTCGTTTATAATTCACCGTCCCAAACCCATAAGCCTTTTGTTCATCTTCAGAACACAAATGAAGATCTTTTTTATTAAATATGAGTTTTCTGTCCCTCCATAGACTGCTACGCAACTGACACTGATGCTTAAAAAAATCATAAAGAGATCGTAAATCTAATCCATATGAATTGTGTGGTTTATTCCACATTTTCTGAAGAGACTCGATCGCTTTATATGATTGAATTTAGACTTTCAGCGAACATAAACAGAAGCTCAACCGAACCTGCTTGACGAGTGAGAACAAACCTTGTTGAAGATCAAACATGCTGCGTAACACGAAAATGAACCTCATTGGTTCACATCACATACCAGATCTGATATGTGAGTTGAATGTTTAAATGTGATGTTAAAATGGCTATATAAATAAAGGTGGCTTGACTTGATTTGAATGTGCTCTTCAAACGTCATGCCAACATCCCAAGCCAATGCTTGATCACCTGTATAAATCGTGAACTTCCATGTGCCAAAGTCAATGTGCAGTTAAGTCTTATTGGAGTTGCCATAGATCAAGGTGGCATGGCTGTGAAAACTGAACGTGTTTGCTAATTAAAAATAATTGTTTATTGATTATGTTGATAGAACTGTAAGTGAAGTGTCACTGGACCTGTGAAGGCAGATTTAGAGGACGTCAAGCATGATTTTCTATCACAGAATATGATCATATTCTTGATGCATGCTTTAGGCTGCTATTGTAAAATCTGATTCCAGCCCCCTCCTCCTCCTCCTCCTGCAGGTCTCTTTACATTGTACTTTCAGATCCAAACCGCAGTATGATTGTGTCATCAGCTTGATTATTAGCAGTAGTCGTCTACCTACAAAACAACTCAGCAGTTTTATTGTGCTATTGAATTATTTGTCATTTTGGATTAACTTTATACTTTTTGTTTATACAGAGGAGTTACGGAAACATAGCTGGTCGGGAATCCCTCGTGAGGTCCGGCCAGTCACCTGGAGACTTTTATCGGTAAGTATTTACAAATATTTTTTCCTTTCCATTGGACGATTCTTATAAAAAATAAATAAATAAATAAATATAAAAAAAAACAGATGTGAGAGGACAAGAAAAGATGTGGAAAAGAGGGAAGAATTGGACTGAAATATGTTGTTAGCCATCTTTGAATTCATTTTGCTCACATAATCACCACGACACATGTCCTAACCACTAGGCCACGACTCTGATGCCTTATTAATAATACATCTAACTGTATCTGTTTTCTTTCTAGGGAAAAATAATTTTGCTAAACTTTTTTTAAACGTACTTATCTGAAATGCATATTCAATTCAATGAATACTAGCAAATGATAAACTACTGTTTATTTAATTACAGCATTTTTTATCTACTGTAAGCCAGCATCACAAACTTTGCGGTCAAGTTGTGCATGGGATGCGCAATAATTTTTTATGCTTTTCTGAGGGTATAAAACATCTGTGCCACTTTCAGATTAATGTGTTATTGATTTGTTTAGCAATATTGGCCTTGCTGAGCACTTAATGTCAGCAGGAATGTGACTGTCATCATAGGAGGGGCAGAGTCTTATGTCTGTATGTGCGCAGATGTTTTACAACCCTCATTTGCGTTTCAGGTGCAAACTTACACCGTCAATAACACGTACCTCGGGGCTAAGCTGTTCAAGCAAATCCCCACCCCACCCCGGCCCAGCTCCTCCAAGCTTTTGCCGCTTCATGCTATGTTTGCTGGGGATTAGACTAAATAATTCCATATGTACAATGATGCAGAGGTGAATGCGTGCCGAACGAATGGTAGGGTGCCAACTGGAAGCGTTTAGCCTCCGCTTTTCATATTCAAATTGTGATTATAAAGCGCAACGTTTGTGTTTTATTTTTGTAGGCCCATTTCATGTTTATGATGTCAGAATCGCATTGAAAAGCTGTTTTAAGATGAATTAGGTTTTTACCGTGGAATTTGAATAGCTGTTACTACAGTTTTGAAGGGCCAATGATGGGGCGAATCCAAACGAGCTGAGTTTGTGCACTTATTATTCGCCTGAAGCTACAGGCGTGAGCTGAATTGAGAGTGAGATTCTGAATGTACGTTATCATTTGTGTTCAAGCGCTCGGCGACTCCGTGTGTGCTCATTAAAACGAGTTGAGAAACAATGGGAGGGGAAGACACTTTAAAAACATAATTTTCAGAAACATGATGGAGAGTGCTGACAAACGATCTAACTGACAGTTCCACGCCTCCACTTCTGCTCTACAAATAGCCTGCACTTGTTGTCTGCTCTTTAGGGACTCGTCTGTAGCTACCAAGTATGTTCTAGCAAAATTGCATCCTGCCTGTGTGTTAGTTTAGTAACTACATGATTAGAAGTTTCTTTCCGAGTTCTGGAATTTTTTTTTCTTGACTTTTTGAGGTCTGAGGTCTTTGTAGTTTTCTCTATTCTCAAATGTGATTCTTAGTTAGTAGTGTCTGCTAAGGCAAGCATCATTATTATTATAGCACATACTCTCGATATTCAAATGAAGCAATTACTCTATGCAATGTGAATTACAAATTGTACTCTTTGGACAGTATAACAGGCAACGTTTCTCCCCTACTGAAAATATAATAGGGTGAATGCATTAAAAACCCATATGCTTACATTGAAGGAGGGACCTGAGTCATCAAAAGGTTAAAAGTTTGGGGTTAGTTTTTTAGTTTTTTCTTTACTTTTATTCATCAAGGATGCATTAATCGAACAAAAGTGACCATTATTTTGAGATTTTAAATAAATGCTGTTCTTTTAAATCTTAAATTCAGAGAATCCTGAAAAAAATATCACCGTTTCCACAAAAAAAAAAAAAAAAAACCATTAAAAACCCCATATACTTACATTGAAGGACGGACCCGAGTCATCAAAAGGTCAAGTTTGGGGTTAGTTTTTTAGTTTTTTTTTACTTTTATTCAGCAAGGATGCATTAATCGATCAAAAGTGACCATTATTTTGAGATTTTAAATAAATGCTGTTCTTTTGAATCTTAAATTCAGAGAATCCTAAAAAAAATATCACCGTTTCCACAAAAAAACATTAAAAACCCTATATGCTTACATTGAAGGAGGGACCTGAGTCATCAAAAGGTCAAAAGTTTGGGGTTAGTTTTTTAGGGTTTTTTTTTTTTTAACTTTTATTCATCAAGGATGCAATAATCGATCAAAAGTGACCATTATTTGAAGATTTCCAATAAATGCTGTTCTTTTGAATATGAAATTCAAAGAATCGTGTTTTTTTTCCACAAAAATATTAATCAGCACACCTGTTCACAGCATTGATGATGATGATAAATAATTATTGAATACCAAATCAGCATATTAAATAATTTCTGATGGATCATTTGACACTAAAGACTGGATTAATGATTCTGATACTTTACAGTTTTGCATCACAGGAATAATTGGAATTTTAAAATGTTCAAATAGAAAAGTTATTTTAATTTTATAATAATATTTCACATTATTACTGTTTTTACTGTGCTTTGTATAAAATGAATGCAACTTTGGTGATCATAAGAGCCTTCTTTCAAAAGCGTTTAAAAATCTTGTTTTGTATATTTTGACTTTGCATTTTGACCTAGCAACCACCCTATCTCGATAATGTGGTTCATGCAATTTGTTTAGTAAGGCACTTTGGTAAAAAAAGCATCTGAAAAGAACTTAAATGAAATGTAACTTGCTTGATTTGCTTCTCTTGTTAGAAGGTTTTTGAAAAGTATCATTTATATAGAGCAGCGCCATAAAATCCATTAGCATCAAGTCAGTGAGATATATTCTGAAAAGCGTTTATTAATCATTCGACTTCAGCACAATAAGGCTCATCTCATTAAAATGATTCAATATCTAGATTTAAAGAAGATGAAAAGATTTTTTTTCAATCTAACTTTTTTTCAACATGGGACTGCAGCATTGAACTGAAGTTACTTGTTGCTTTTTTAATATATTTAGTTTGCATTATTTATAGGTTATATTTTGGTATAAGTCAAAATACACTTGAAAGACATGGAGAAAGTATGTATCCAGCAGTTGTTTTCTCAATACTATTAAATTAGCATTTCCTCTCTCCCAGGGCTATCTTCCTGCCAACAGGGAACGCAGGGATCTGGTTCTCCAGAGGAAGAGGGAGGAGTATTTTGGCTTCATCGAGCAGTATTACCACTCCAGAACAGATGATAACCACAGAGACACATACAGACAGGTAAAACTCAATAGAGGGTATGCACGTGACGTCACCGTCGGCCGAAGTGACTGCGGTTACGCCCACTGAGTGGCAGCATTAGTTTTCTGCGAGAAACGCACAAAACGCATCTAAAATGGGAAAAGGCTTTGTGATCGACTGCACAAATAGATTTGACAAGAAATCTGAGGTGTATTTTTACAGACTGCTGAAAGCTACAAAAATGAGAAGCAAAAGGATCACTGCATTTCCCAGAAACAATTGGACTGTGTGATATACTGTGCGAAATGTGGATTTAATTTTGGATTTTATTCCCTGTATATTGTTTTGAACTGTATATTGATTTAAACTGTCTGATTAGTCATTTGTTTTACTCGCGTTTTTACAGTTTCCCTTATTAACTCCAGTCATGCAGCAGCTCTTTTGCCACTCAATACGACTGAATAGCATGTTCTGGCCGGAAAGTGACGTCAGTGCATTTCCTCAATACATAAAAAATGGGTAGAGTTGGTTGAAATTGACCGTTCTGACTTTTGCATAATTTCCATGATTAATACCTTGATCAGTCCACTGGAAAACAAGTGTTGCTTACAAAGCTGGCTTGAGTCACAGAATACTTGAAACGGCGTTACATAATTAAGAGACAATTTAACACAATTCTGTTATTATTCTGAAGAACATTTTAAATATTCAAAGATTTACATGTTTTTTGAGATCTTGACATATGGGGATGTAGATGTTTAAGAGTGTTTTGGGAGCAGTTTTGCTGAAACATTTTGGAGTTTGGAGGAATGTGTACACTATTATGTTTAATGTACCACATCATTGTGTCAATTACTACAGACAGTATTTTTACTCATCCCCTGGTGCATTTAGACAGGAAATGCATTGTCTGTGCTAATCGACAGCATGTCAGACATGCCGTCCTCAGACATTTTGTTGAAAGCAACCCTGTTTAAATCCAGTTATCATAATACACAGGTGTATGCTGATTTCACCCTTTTGCAAGATGTCCAGTTCAGTGGAAAAGGATCTTGTAAAATGCAATATTTGTAAGATTATGGACATTACTGTATGTCTTTAAATTCCAAAGTTTATTGTGAAATACCAGATAATTTTGCTGTTAAAGGGCTAGCTACTCTTAGTGTCCATACATCCCTCAAAAACACATCTGGTTTGTTTCTTGTGAAGGGAGTTTGCAGGGCTTCCTTAAAGGGAAGTAAAGTTCACCCAGAAATAAATATTCTGTCATCATGTACACACCCTCATGTAATCAAACCTTAATGACTTTCTGTCTTCTGTGGAACAAAAGAAGAATTTTGAAGAATGTTGGTAACCAAATGGTTTTTGGTTCCCATTGACTTCCATTGCATGGAGAAACGTTCAGTTCAATTCAGTTTGGTTACCAACATTCTGTTGTTATTGGTTGCCAACATTCCATAATGTCTTCTATGTTCCACGGAAGAAAGAAAGTCTTACAAGAGTTTGGAAGAGTAATTGGTGATAGAATTTCCATTTTTGGCTGAACTATCCCTTTAAGACAGACTAGTTGATTTTGAAAAACCCTGAAAAACAATTAAATGTTTTTGGTTTGTTAGATTTTTTTTTTGTGTGTGTGTGTGTGTGTGTATGTGTGTTTTTGATAAGTTTCCTTTGCCCACCAATGATACATTAATTGGATCAAAATACAGTAAAAACAGTAATATTGTGAAATATGACCATTTTTCTATTATAATATATAGTATATATATATATATAAACTTTTAAAAAAAAACACTGCTTGCACCAGCTCGAGGCGTGAAAGTTTACTGATTACTGAGTTTGGTAGGGGCTACATTCATGCAAGTAAATAATACATGATTAGACGGACAAAATATTCGGTCAGCATAACTACTCTATGTCTTTAGGCTGATAGTCATGTTTGTTAAGTTAATTATTTTTCTGGTGAAAGTGTCTTGCCTCAGGCTATAATGCAAATCGATTTTTCAAATTTGCAGATTCATCTATGGTAGCTTGATATTATAATATTGACGACATGGCTATTATTATCTATCTACCAACAAACATTGAATTGAATTAGCATATCCATTATGTAAAAAAGTAGCCAATAGGCTAAAGTTACTATTAAGACGCACGCTGGCTTGTAAGCAAGAGCTACGCGATCTTTTGACGTTTGATAAAAATAAAGCCCATGACACTACAGTATATTCATAAGACATGCTGAAATATATACCAACGTAACTGGGATGAAGACATCTCACACGCAACACTGGAGTCTGCCCAAGATGTGAGAACTCCTTCCTTCTGCAGAGTTCGGGGTATCGCTCGTCAACAAATACACACTTGTATTCCCGAGTGTAACCATGACAGATTTTACGACTGTAGTAGAAGACAATACTGTTTCCCAACTGTAGGGGGAAAATTTCAAAATTTCAAAAATAACAGAATGCTGCTTTAACAAAGATGAACTAATACAGTAACAAATGTATTGATCATGAGTTCATATTAGTTGGCACATCACTGCTAATTATTTTTAACTTGTTGTGCATTAAGCATTACTAGAACAATCCCCTTTGGAGCAACCTGGGGTTACTTGTCTTAACTCAGAGGCACAATGATCTTAATTCACTCATCAATCCTTGCAGAGTTTGAGCAAACAACCTTTATTCCTGTAAGCCCAGGGGCTTTATGTTTCATACTTGCATATATTTCATCCTAGAGGTCTGGATGATGCATTAATGAATCGAACAGATCCCATCTGCAGAGATTGGGATTATCAGTGAATAGTATTGTAAATTTTAGTCTGTTCCTCACCACAAAGCTGTCACATGACTTCAGAAGACTCATAATGTACTGCACAAGTCATATAAACAATATTTAGGAGACTTTAAACCTGTTAGATTCGATTTTTGGGCGAACTATCCCTTCAGACGCCACTTTGTTGAGGAACTCTGTAGTGAGTCGAGGTTCCAGAAAGCTATAGGAGTAATACACCCCGATTTTGTTCTGTGTGTTATTAATAGGGGAGGGGGGCCGAGATCAATATTCTTATGGGCTGTAAAACTCAGGGTTAATGGTGCAGGACTGGTAGTCGATTGCTATGCCCTCCCTTCTCTCTTCTCTTGTCCGGTTCCTCAGGGCTTGCTGGCTCCCAGCCCCTCATTTCATCTACTGCAATACAAATCGGACACAGACCTTTAAAAGGATTTATGTGGTCGTACAGAACCGTTGGACTGGCCCCTGGCTGTCTGGGCAGAAACACTAAATGACCTTTTAGTGTGGTCACAGTCTGAGAGGGCGAGGAATGGCGGTGAATACGAGCAAACTGGACTTCGGTGGCCTTCGAGTGACCTGCATTACTACAAAGCCATTTCGTCAAACATATGATGGAAGTAGAAATGGAAAGAGGGAAGAAAATAAAAGGGAACTAGATGAAAGAGAAGGGGTCGCCACCTGTATGTGCGACTGGACGCAGTGCTGCCCATTTTTAAAGTGAATTCATGCAGGTTTTGTGTGTAGCTTGTTACGAAACCAGATCAATAGCTTGCGCAGTTTGGACCCTGATGGTTTGGTTTCCCTCCATTTACTGGAAAGGAAAAAGGACATATAACTCAATTTAGTGCTCTTGGGGCATATTGATTTAATCTCTTACTTTTTTTCCCCCCCAGTACACCTGTACTTATGACGAGTCTGTAACTGGTTTGTGTGGGTGTGCATTGGAGTTTACCTGAATATACCTGTCTGTGTCTTTCCATAGATTCACATCGACATCCCGAGGACGAACCCTTTGATTCCTTTGTTCCAGCAGCCGCTGGTGCAGGAGGTATGTGATATTCTCTGGCGCCAACACCTGAGTATCGTTGCACACCGCACCTGTGTCAGACCCTCCGGGGTCATACAGACGCTCCGATGTCACACAGCAGGCACTACACACTTAATGTAATCGGATAGATAAGAGAGCGAGTCACACAATCATGGCCATGTCATATTTTACCTCGAAATCAAAAGAAAAAAAAGAAAGGTAAGCCTATTTTTAGGACTATTAATGTTTTTTTTTTCCATTGCGACAATTGTTTGCAAGACAATTAAGACGCATTTCCCCCAAATTACCATTACCATCTAATGCATCTTTTCTTTCCCAATTCCCATTTATCTCTGGTGATTCTCAATACATTCTGATTACTGTAATATGACAAGCTCTTCTTATATTGGCATAAATGACAGTACATCTTTGTTTAAATCCATTGCAGCAAGCACATTTTCTTCTAGTTTTCTTCATGTAAATAATGTCTTTGTGAAATATGACCAATTAAATTCTGCAACAAGACAAGCTTCAAGAGATTCACTCAAGGAAAAAACTTAGTGTTCTGGATCAGTGAATATTTTTACTTTTTTGGTTTGTTTATATTCATATTTTCTGGTTTAGTCCTTAAAATGTGTCTATTAATCATGATTTGATAATTTACTTAAAAAATATTTATAGATATGTATTGTGGAAATATTTGAGTAAAAATATATATATTTTTTTTGCAGTTCAGTTATTTTGTGAAGCTGTTCAATTAAACGATCAAGACAAAATATACTTTAAAGGAGTAGTTCACTTTTAAAAAAACTTTTGCTGATAATTTACTCACCCCCATGTCATCCAAGATGTCCATGTCTTTCTTTCTTCAGTCGAAAAGAAATTAAGGTTTTTGACGAAAACATTCCAGGATTTTTCTCCATATAATGGATTTCAATGGGCACCAAACGGTTCAAGGTCCAAAAGACAGTTTCAATGCAAACTGGAAACTGTTCAAAGGGCTTTAAATGATTCCAGACGACGAATAAGGGTCTTATCAAGTGAAACAATCGCTCATTTAAAAAAAAAAAAAGCAAAGTTTAAGTTTTATAAGCTGAAATGTTCGCCTTGCTCTGTTCTGCGATGTGCGTTCGTGACTCTCCTGTTCAAACTCGTTTATCAAAATGAACTAATCTTTTCCCGAGTCAACTCGTTCATTTCGTTCATTGAATGAACCAAATGACACGAAAAAAAGATTCGTTCATTTTGATGAACGAGTTTGAACAGGAGAGTCACGAACGCACATCGCAGAACAGAGCAAGGCGAACATTTCAGCTTATAAAACTTAAACTTAAACTTTGTTTTTTTTTATTTTTTATTGAGCGATCGTTTCACTTGATAAGACCCTTATTCATTGTCTGGAATCATTTAAAGCCCTTTGAACAGTTTCCAGTTTGCATTGAAAGTGTCTTTTGGACCTTGAACCTTTTGGTTCCCATTGAAGTCCGTTGTATGGAGAAAAATCCTGGAATGTTTTCGTCAAAAACCTTAATTTCTTTTTGACTGAAGAAAGGACATGGACATCTTGGATGACATGGGGGTGAGTAAATTATCAGCAAAAGTTTTTTTTTAAAAGTGAACTACTCCTTTAATGTCCCCCAGGGGGCAAATTTGTCTTGGGCTACAGTCACTGTGACACACGCATACAACAAACCACATAAAATATACACTGAGTATAGACAATACCAACATGCCTCATTACACTGTACCGTGAAAACGGTGCACAAGACAGTTGGAATAAAAAGTGTACAAGTAGGTAACAGTCATTTGTTATTGTTTAGCATCTTAATGGCAGCTCCCATGAATGAGTTTTTATACCTCTTTAACCTAAATGGTTTACCTGAGGGTAACAACTCTAGTTCCTTATTGAATGTGGGTTGGGTCATCCAAAATCTTATGTGCCTCCCTGATCACACATTTTTCGTACAATGACTGTAGGTAGCACTGTTCTTGGTAACCTACAATTCTAACTTGGATTTAAACTGAACTGAAAGTTTCAAGTTTACCAGTGTTGAGCTCTTTCACTCAAACTTTGTCAATTTTTTTTTTTCCAGATGCATAATCTGTCTTGTTATAAAATTCTTTAAAAAAAAAAAAGAAAAAAAAAATTCAGTAAATCCGCTGATGATATTAACTGTTCTGGATGGATGGGTTGCTTGCAGCCAGCTGAGCTTTGTGTCATTGAATGCTTACCAGCAGGGGGTGCTGTGGTGTTTTTAACTTGTTAGAGGAGTGTACAACACTTGTGTTACCCATAAACAAGGAACAGAGCACTGGAAATGCAGCTGCGTTTGGAAAATGCGTTTACCTGTTGGTCTGCTCTATCAATTGCTAAAAATCTGCACAACAATCACAGTTCTTATGATGCATGATTTGTACATGAAATGATCATTGAAAGCAATTGTCTTGTCTTTCAGGTGTTTGAGCGGATTCTCTTCATCTGGGCCATCCGTCACCCCGCTAGTGGATACGTGCAGGGCATTAACGACCTCGTCACCCCTTTTTTTGTGGTCTTCCTCTCTGAATTCGTTGGTAAGTGTTTAATAACCTTCCACATGGATCACTTGGTCTGCTTGACTGATTCTTCACCTTTCTGAATCTGTCCTTTTGGCTGAGCACATCACTTCAGTTGGCTCCGCTAATATGTCAAAGTCGGAGAGATGCAGACAGGACCGTATCTGACAGATGATGGTGAAAAATGGTTCTATAAGTGTAAACAAACTGACAATATCCTGTTGAAAATGTCAAACACAAAAATACAGAATATCAATTATCTTTGAAAGAAAATCTGAACGATAGACAGTGGGTGAGAGAGAGAAATGGTGAAAGAGGGAGAGAGTGACAGACAGAAAGAAAGGGAAATGGAAAGAAGACGACAGTTTGAATCAGACGGAGGGGAGAGCAGACAGATGGGGAGAGATGGATAAACAGATCATTCCATGTGTCTGATATTCTGTCTATCGCTCTATGTATCGTTTGACTGTTCTATCTATCGGTCTATCTGCTGTCTTGGAGCAATAGATGATAGATAGATGTGCGTATTAGAGATAGACAGACAGACAGATGGAGAAAGACGGATAGCTAGGGAAATAGGCTCTCCGGCTCTTGTCCTCATTGCCATTCTCCCTCCACCCGGCAGCTTTCCCCTCCCTTCCTTATTTATTTCCTGTCCTCTCATGTGAAGGTTAATTACTTATGGATAGTTAAGGATTACAGAAGAACAATAGGAGGCTCATTGATCTCTCTGGTGTGCCGCTGCTGCAATGTCACCAGTGCAAACACCAGGACATACCCACAGATTACCTGGATCACCAATCGATTTCTCTTTTTCTCCCCCGGCTGTCTACCTCGCCCACCACTCTCTCTGTCTTTTCCTCATCCCTCTGTTTCTCCGCAAAGCTCATTTAGCGAAAAGCTGATTTTTCATACCCGCGCTTTCGTGTCATTCTGCAGGCCCTTTCAATCTCTAATTTGTTTGCGGGCCATGTGAATATGTGTGTGTGCGTTTGGGATTCTCAATGCCGCAGGTTGAATGAGACGCATTGATCGGCTGGATTTAAGTGTTTACAGAGGCTTGCGAGGGTGCCGAGCACACGGTGGGGGGCTCGACCCGCCGATCGATGCATCTGAACGAACTTCATGATCCCAACATGCTGCCGGCCGTGGGCAAACGCGTCTGGGTTCACGGGCGCTAACTGCTTCGTCTGCTCTGAAACGCAGCGTTTTGCCAACTTTCGCTGCGCTGTTTCTCTTGGCCGGCACGCCTCAGTGGCTTTCTAGGGCTCCTTTGCGAGCTTTTTAGCTTTCTGCTGAGAAGGCGAGAGAGAGAGAGACGGCATAGGAGAATATTGGCGCTTCACATTTAGCTCAATATCAGCGAGTAGCGTTTTAAAGAGTAGCCGCCAGGAAGGAGAGTCACGGCGCCCTTCGGTTTAAAGTGTTGGTATTGATGCGCCGAAGAATTTGAAGTGGAGGGACGAGACGGAGGAGGGAATATTCTCAAAGGGTAAATCATCACATTTACCCTGACAGACAAAGAGGACAGCGGGGAAATCTCCTCTGTAAAGCATCAATGCCCTGTCTCCGACTCTCTCACTCTCCCTCACACACAGACATTGGTTTTATTACTGAAGAGGGTGTGTGATATTCTCACCTTATTATTTATTGCTCCATTGCTGTGCATATTTTGGATTAGATGGGTCGTCTGGGTGGGGAAAAGTGTGTGGATTGGTGGTTGTGTTGCTGAATCTGAGCAACAAGCCACAGGAGGGTAAAGGCTTTTGTGGCTTGAAAATGTTCATCAAAAATGTAATTCATCATTAAAATCGCAGTATTGTAGTTTATAAACTGTAGGCTGTTTATAGTTGTAAAGCAACATGACCACCCAAACATGAAAATTCTGTCATTCCAAACCTGAATGACTTCATTCAGGTGAATCAGTCACTGAGTGAATCGGAGAATTAATGGAATTCTTTTCATGCAATTGCCGCCGGGAGCTTTTTAAAGGGACACTCCATCCATTTGCATTAAGCTTTCCATGGTTAGCAACCCAGTTATACTATTGAATGGTCGGTCGTGCAACACTCTCATTTTCCCCTGAGACGAGAGAAATCTGTTATTTACCCTATTCACTTCCTCCCACAATTACACAAAAATCGTCATTTTACCTCATTGTAGGAGAAAGTGTTGGAGGAGGGGTTCTGTAAAGACTACAAGCACTAGATCCCACCCTTTCAGACCCGCCCCTAGGGGGTTGGGCCTAATGCGCTAACAGACCAATCACAGATCAGTGCCAGTGCGTTTGATTTCACCAACAGAAACTTTTTGAAAATATGGACTAAGGTACTTAATACACAGACGGATACATAATGGCGGATTGGGATTACAGTAGTGTCAGCCATGTTTTTTGGAAGCTAAGCTAGCAGGCTCTTGTTCTGTGGAGAAAGCCGAGTAGTAACTTTAGGGGTTAACTTACCGTCCTGTTTTACCCGGACATGTCTGGGATTCAGCTTTTGCTTTCTGCAGTCGCCATTCATTGTTTACATGCACAGCTTTTGTTTCAATCTAACTGAATTGATTCTGATTGGTGAATCTGAATGTAGTGTTTACATGAACGTTAAACAAGTGATCAGTTGATGTGTGTTTTAACATTGCTAAGAAAATTCCCGCTCCTCCGTGAGAGATACGAGACTGGTAACTTATGTCTCACAGGTGACGCTCATCGGTCATCACGCCACCGGCCTCGCGTCGTTCTCCCGCGGCCCTCACTCGTCCTGCTCGCCACAATAAACATGATGAATGACGACTGTTGAACGCAAAAGCCGAATCCCGGACATTTTGGGCGATCTCGAAACACATTTTTGTGGAAACTCATCACGGAGACTCACTAGACTAGCCTAGACTTGTTGTTTAACTACTGTGTGGTTACTGGTAGGCGTGGCCTCCTAGGGCTAGTGAAGCAAGTGCATTCTGGGAGTTGTTGTCTTTGATACAATCTGTATTGTGAAAAGCGCTATATAAATAAATGTGACTTGACTTGACTTGACTTTCATCCACATGAGCCAAAAATACATTTTCTGTCTTTTCTCAGTCTAGAAAGCTCCAAATTCAAAAATACTTTCACATTTCTTCTACATAAATTACCCATTTTAAATACACATTCATCTTTCCAGGGGTGGAATGACCCTTGAAGTTTGAATTAAAGTAGTCCATGACTATATTCCAAGTAATTTGATAGCTTTGTGATTTAAGTTATTCGCAGAAAATCTTCATTAAATCAGTGAATTTCGATTGGTCTGGATTCGTGAATGGATCATTCAGAGTCAGCTGATTCATGCTACTTTTCTCATTAACATGCCGAGTAGAACTAGGATGGATGTCAAGATTCAATTAACAATTTTATTGGGCTTCAAATGCTTTAAATGTGGTGTCTCATTAACAACTTTCATGTTGATTTTGCATCATCTTTTTTTGAGTCCCAGTCCTGTTGTTTTCCACTGATAAAAGAAAGTAATACAAGTTTGGAATGAGAAAATTATGGTTTTTGGGTGAACTATTCCTTTCATAAAGAATTCAATTGATGTGCGATCACCAGGTGTGCGTCTGTCGGCATATTTCATAAACCGCTTTGAACATGCCTCATCCAATCCGCTTTTAGAGTCTGAGCTACATAATATGGATAATTTAATGCTCAAACTGAGATATGGAGGAATGACCTGAATGAGCTATGATTTGTTTCCTGAGTTGCAGACTTCACTTACGATTATTGAATGATCTCTCCGGTCTCTCATACTCGCACCACATGCGTACATGGCACAATAACCCCCTTTTCCCCCACAGGGTCGGAGAACAAGGTGGCAAAGTCTCTCTTTGTGCCACAAACAGGATTTCTCCTGCATTCTGTAAAGCCGCTTTATGCAGCAGCACTATGTGTGTGTGTCCGAAGCTTTAGAGCGATGTGGAAATGTGGAGGGCTAAATGGATCAGGAATCTCTCCAGTGCTGTGGCCAGTGACATATGGCCAGGCCCATGACCGGCAGGGCACTCCATGCTTCATTTGTGGTCAAAGAGGGCTATTTACTTTGCTTTTCCAGCTTTTTTCTCCCCTGCCAGCTCTTTCCTGTCGTTCTCCATCCGTCTTTTTTTACTCGAATCCCATCCGGGCTCTCACTCGGCCCCCATCAGCTGTTCTTCCTGCTGCAATGCAGAGGTTTACTGACAGTTTCCTCTCTGAGACTTCGAGCAGAGAGGTTTTTGCCATTCCTGTACCTGCTTACCCTTCTGATTCACATATACAGTGGGGAAAATAATTATTTGATCCCCTGCTGATTTAGTATGTTTGCCCACTTACAAAGAAATGAAGGGTCTATCAATTTTATTGTAGGTTTATTTGAATGGATAGAGACAGAATATCAACCAAAAAATCCAAAGATTGATTTATAAATTGATTTGAATTTCAGTAAGTAAAAAAGTTTTTGATCCCCAAGTAAAACATGACTTTGTTGGCAAGCACAGAGGTAAGATGTTTTTTTTTAAATAATTGGTCACCAGATGTGCACACATCTCAGGTGGGACTTTGATCCACTCCTCTTTGCGGATCCTCTCTAAATCCTTAAGTTTTCTTAGCTGTCGTTAAGCAACTCAAAGTTTCAGCTCCCTCCACGGATTTTCTTGGATTAAGGTCTGAAGACTGGCTAGGCCACTCAAAGACCTTAATGTGCTTCCTGAGCCACTCCTTTGTTGCCTTGGTGGTATGTTTTGGGTCATTGTCATGCTGGAAGACCCATCCATGACCCATCTTCAGTGTTCTGGCTGAGGGAAGGAGGTTCTCATCCAAGATTTGATGGTACATGGCACCATCCATCAGCCCCTCAATACGTTTTCTACCTCCGTGCTTGACGGTAGGGATGGTGTTCTTGGGGTCATGATCAGCATTTCTCTCCCTCCAAACATGGCAGGTTGAGTTGATGCCAAAGAGCTCAATTTTGGTCTCATCTGACCACAGCACTTCAATCATTTAGATGTCCATTGAGCAGTGGGACATTGCCTGCGCTGCAGGATTTCAATCCAGGGTGTTGACAATGGTTTGCTTGGTGACTGTGGTCCCAACTGCCTTGAGCTCATTAACAAGCTCCTCTCGTGTAGTTCTGGGCTGATCCCTCACTTTTCTCTTGATCATCCTTACCCCATGAGGTGAGATCTCGCATGGAGCTCCAGACTGAGGGCGATTGATGGTTATTTTGTATTTGTTCCATTTCCAAATAATGGGACCAACAGTTGTCTCCTTCTCACCAAGCTTTTTGCTGATGGTCTTGCAGCCCATTCAAGCCTTGTGCAGGTCTCCAATCTTGTCCCTGACATCCTAAGACGGCTCTTTGGTCTTGCCCATGGTGGTGGAGAGGTTGGAATGGAAGAGACAGATTCTGTGGACAGGTGTCTTTTTCTACACATAATGAGATGACATTAGGAGTACTTCCTTAAAGCGACAAGACAAGGCTAATATGTGTTTCACTATGGGCACATAACAAATCTGTGGGATGCAGAATTCTTGCTGGTTGGTAGGGGATCAAATACTTATTTCACTTGATCAAATGCAAAGCAATTAATAACTGTTTTTTCCAGATTTTGCTTGATATTCTATCTCTATCTGTTCAATTAAACCTATCATAAAAATTAAAGACACTTCATTTCTTTGTGGGAACACTTACAAAATCAGCAGGGGATCAAATTCTTTTCCCCACTGTATGGGCCACATTCATTAAACACAAATTTCTGTGTAAATTGTAAAACTGTTCCTATATAATTTTTATATATATATATATATATATATATATATATATATATATATATATATTATTATTATATATATATATATATATATAATTCCTATATAACTAATCATTAAAATTGTTTTTTTTTTTTTTTTTATAATAACAGACTCCATGATTAACTTTCATGGAGTCTGTTATTTATATCTCCATCTAATTTTCAATTTAAAAAAAATTAATGGCGTATTTCTCAAAATATTTCATTTTTATTTTAATAGTTGTTGTTGAAAAACTATAATAAGTTTCTTTGGGTAAGACAAGTTGCAACAATTTATTTTTAATTAGCTACCTCATCTTTATCCAGCAAGATAATGTGTTCTTTTGGAGATTTCAATCGGTTGCACTTAACTGTATTTTCCTTTTTTTCCAAGTGATTCCAATCATATTTCAATCAATTCAAAATCATAGCAAACACTGTGCATCTGAAGTGTCTCAACTAAAGGACCCATTATTATCCATTATTTATCGGCTTCTATATATATATATATATATATAGATAGATATATATAGATCTATAGAAGCCGATAAATGGGCCACATTTGGGCTGATGACATTTAAAGGGTTACGGTATTTTAGACTTAAAGACCTGTTTTGAGATCTTTTTCTCATGAAATATAACGGTTAAGATTGAAATTTGGACAAATGCTGCTTTTTAGGGTTTAACAAGTTTTATCGTAGTTTTTGTACCAAGTCAAGTCAGTGGAGTTGGACAAAAACTATGATAAATCCTGTTGGAAAGCATTTGCAGCGATTTTTGTGTGAGCAAATCAGTGGGGGGTGCTAACACAGAAACCTAAAATTCTCAGGACAGCAGCATTTGTCCATATTTCAATCTTAACCGTTCTATTTAATCAGAAATGATCTTAAAACAGGGCTTTAAGTGTAAAATACCGAACTAACCCTTTAAAAATGAACACATATCGACCAATATCTATATTGTGGCCGAGATATCACACATCCCTACTAGTAGAAGTATGTAAATAGGGGTATGTATAGGCTAATGCTGTTTACAGACAGTTGTGATTTTGTCTCTAACAACAGACCTCAGCAGCAGTTGTCCATATGGTCTTCAGCACGTGTTGATTTGCAGCTTCAGTTGAGTATCTAACGGTCGTTGGAGAGCATGTATTCTTCATAGTGTCTTCGACCTTGGATCTGACCTTCTTCTTATCTATATTTCAGCTCTCATGTACTGCAAGAAGTCGCGTGATTGACTGAATTGCTTTGGCGATGCACAAGCTGCATGCAAACATGCCTGGAGCGCTCTCTCTTGCTCTCCTTCTCTTTACTCAGTGCTTCATCAAAATAGCTCCTTGTTCTTCCTCCCCCTCCCATCCTTATTAAGAAAAGAGGAAGAGAGCGAGATCAAGAGATGGAGGACTACATTAGTTGTGCGGTGGGTGGGTGGGTGGAGTGGCACACAGAAGTCTTTTCCAGCCAGGTCTGGCTCTCTGGGGCATAATGTGTGTTTCAGCATCATTTAGCACATACTGTTTAAAGAGTCGGGAAAGGTCATGGCTGTGAGGGGAAGCCTGCGGAGGGAGGGAGAGGGCCGAGTTGATGAATGTGTTGAATAAAGAATGCAGTTTGCCGGCTAATGATCTAATGGCTTCGTGGTGTCTGTGCATACGATACACGACACACCACAACTGCTTTCGCCCGCAAGAAAACAAAGACGACTGCTGAGAACACCTGCAGCATGTGTGCTGGTTCGATCTGCTGGTGACCCAACATTAATGTGTGTGTGTGTTTTGTGTGTTTTCTTTTTCATAGAGGAAGATGTGGAAAATTTTGAAATGGCAAGCTTACCGCTGGATACGCAACGAAACATCGAAGCTGACAGCTTTTGGTGCATGAGCAAGTTGCTGGATGGGATTCAGGTATTTGATCCACTCAAGGTTTATGGTAGATGGTAGATGTCATAACCATCTTTCTCCATCAATGTCCATTCAAAAGTAGCATTCATTCTGCTAACTTATTTGGACATTGGCATTTAAAAATGTTCAGTGTATAAATCCTAACTATTTCATTTGAAGTAGTATGTCATTCTTCTTCGTCCTCATAATAGGGGCACTTTAATAACATTTCTAATAATTATGGTGCGTTCTATTATAGCCAATGAACCGACTCGGACCTCGGATTTGACGTCACGTCCACACTTCAAGCGTTCTATTATGTTTTGCGTGTCCGAGTCGGAGAAAGCTGTTGTCATGGTAGCACTGGCCGAGTACCAGGCACTTACATTTAAAAAAAAAATATTATGACTACACCTTATCAAAGCACAGCCATTTGAACTTGAAAATGTTCACTTTATTTAATGTTTTTCATGTTAATCTTCTTTTAGCAACGTTAGTATTGCAGTCACAACAACCGATTCCCATACCCACAGGGGACGCAGTGATACGAGTGATTATAATCGTCATTTAAAATACCAAAGCGGTTCAAAAACAATGAAAACAATTCATTCTTACAAGTCACAGGGAGCAGCCATCTTGAATTCCGAAACGGAATTCTTGCTCGGTGGTCTCACGGTTGTCCGAGAGGAGAAATTCGAGGTGTTGCTAGGCAACATCTGTCGTCCGATTCGGATCTCCGAGACGGATGAACAATAGAACGCACCATAATAATCATTGTCGTATATAACTATTTTATTGTGTATTTTATTTTATTTTAAAAAGCAAAATTCGAATCACGTACTTCCATCATGCATCAGCCAAGCTACTGCAATTGAGCTGGTAATGATCATTTCTCCAGGGATTCTTGGACCGTATCACTTCTGTCTTTTTATTTAAGCTAAACCCTGTAGTGGTCGTCCTGTCCTTTTGCTCTTTTCAAAAAGCCAGAGACCAGTGGAATACAATGCAATAAAAAAAGACTCTGACGGCCTAAAAAAAAGGCACAGACTTTGTTGTGCTTAAGCCCCAGAGGATAAGACACTTACCCGCCTGGAGGAGAGAGACATGAAATACTTGGAGAGGAAGTTGAAGCTAGGAGGTTTAAGCTAGGGGGATTCAGATTCTTGGCTGGCATTCCCTTGAGAAAGGCCCTCTGTTAGAGAGAGACGAGCGTGTCGGGGCACTCATCTGCAGGCGGGAGCAAGGGTCAGATTCAGGCCACAGTCAGGTTGTCCCGTGGGCCGCTCTGTGGTGCGTTCATTGGCTGAGTGGAGCCGAGCTGAAGGGCAGAACACGCGCATGGATCAGAACACAGTGTGTGTCTTCCCAGGCAGTCGCCCCCCCTGGGTTTGAACACGAGCCGCACGCAGCACAGCAGATGGCCACTGGCCCTTAATGACCCACAAGGGAAGAGGAACACAGGCTGAAAACTACATTAGTTATAAATAACAATAACCATGATGCTATAGCACCCTCGTTTCCCTCAGTTTATCAGCTGGTAACAAGCCTCTGACAGACCCTTTGTTATATTATATTTTATTATCACAATCTGTGACATTATCGCGCAGTTAGTCTGAATATGTGTTTCCACAAGCTGTTTATAAATCCTAAATATTTCAGCTAAAAGAAGTCTACAATACTAACTATTTTATTTATTTCTATTAAATTGTAAAAAATTTGAAAAATTACAATGTAGAATAAAAATTGCCTTTCCATAGCGATTTTCGTGTGCAGGTCGAAGTGGCACATGATGCTTGCTTTAAGCGATTGAAGCGCTCAGACAAGTCATGTGAAAGAGCCTTAACGAGATGAAAAAATAATGTCCTAAATACTACCTTTGTTTTTCTCCATCAGGACAACTACACGTTCGCCCAGCCTGGCATCCAGATTAAAGTGAAGGCGCTGGAAGAGCTTGTCAGCAGAATAGATGGTAAGATCATGTTCACACACACATTATCTATCAATTCCGTTCACTCTGCGTAGAATTGAAATAGTACACACACAAATTTAAATTTGAATTTTTTTTCTTTAACTAAATCTCAAACTACAAAAAAAAACTAAATTGTAATTAAATTAATTTAATTTGCCCCTGATCACTGTATCCTTTCATTGTATGAAAAGACCTGCATGAACATTCTTTCATATTTCTCATTTTGCATTCCTACGGAAAAAAAAAATCATTTTCAATTGAGTGAGTAAATGATTACAAAATTATAATGTTTGGTTTAAATGATTCTTTAGCATCGTGGAAACGGTTTTCCACATGATTAACTTGCTTTATTTCAGCATCATGCAATTCTGTTATTCCAATTTAATGTACTTATGTTGGGTCAACTTAATGTATAAAGGTTGATTCATCTTATTTACTATGGTTTGGCACAGCTTAATTTAATATTGTCAATGAATTTAAAAAGTCTCTCTGATTTGATTTAGGTGTTCAAATTCATAATATTCATCCATCATCTACATTTCTAGACTATAACCAAGTATGAGCTACTGGGAACAAACAAGCACAGCCCAGTTTCAGTGAATGCAACACAAATCATTCATGTATTTCAACACGTAAACTTGGTAGATTGAACACAATCAAATTAAGTTTGGACAAAATGTATAGGAATTGTGTTGCTTAAGCTCATTTTAATAAAGCAATTTCAACAAGCTGCGAGTGTACTGTATGAGGCGGTTGGTCCTGGTGTGGTTGTACCTAGGGTTACAAGCAGGTTACCTTTAAAGCTGCTTGAAAGATAGAAATCACACTCTGTTGGTCAATTGTGACATTAAACTTGTAGTCATCTGCTTCAGGCCCAATCGTGTGCTTTTTGAGACAAATGCCCTCACAATCTTCAGTACAAATAACATGTCATGACTGCCAGAACAAAATGGCAGTGTCTGGAGTCCCTTAAACGATCCCATCTATTTTGCCCTTTGCCCTCCAGAATGAGGTGAACTCTCTCTCTCTTTTTTTTTTTTTTTCCCCGATCCATAAATAGCAGTGCAAAATGCTCAAAACAACAAGGTGTTGTTTTTCTGCCAGGGTGCGATCTTGTTCATCGCCTTGGAAAAGACTTGTTTTCCCAAGGTGTTGGCCGTTTCTGTTTCTTGGAATCACACGTTTCCGTTATGCCACTAGTCCGCCTCTGTTTTTTTTTTTTTTTTCTGTCAGAGTGTTTATACCATCTGGATGCCTTACTCCCCTGTTCAGTGTGTTTGGTGTGATAAGCTGAACAGCCCACACTGAAACTCTCGGTGAGAGCCGCCGCGCGCCTCTTTCCCATCAATCAGCATCCACCACCACCGTGAGCAATAGCAGACCCCACAGTCTCGCCGGGGAGCACAGGAGAGAAATCAATTCCCCATAAGCCCCTGCGATTAGGGTGTGAAGGCAAATGGAAGTGAGTTGAGATCAGAGACGAACAGGGCCGTGCAGAGACCTCTGTAGGGGCAGGTGCTCAAAGTATAAAATGGGGCACATGGAAACAAGGCTTTATAGGGCTGTGCTCAAAATATCAATACAGTAATATATCAATACAGATGATTCTGCATCGATACAGCAGCAAATGCATTGATGCAGTTTTGAAAAAGAACCAGAACAGAAAAGACAAATTTAAAGTTTAAAATTAAAAAAAATAATTGATGTGCTCTATATATAACTCTGGGATTAGAAACTGAAGCATCTTAAGTTGTTCCAACCTGATGGCTTTTTCTTCTCTGTTATACAGAATAATAAAGAACAGCTGTTATAGTGAACTGTGTAGGACAAAATCAACCTGGCCCATGTTTCGTGCAGTACAGTATAGTTTTATTTAATGGCATATCAGCATCTGTGGCTATTTTCATGGCAAAAACTGATTCACAAAAATACAAGAGTTACATTTTATACAATGAAAATAAAAAAACAAAGCAAACAGAAACAGCAATTAATACTTTACAAGATTTTTAAAATTAATGTGATGCCTGTTATGGTAAATTCTTACTTAAGTCCTTAAGTGAGTTTGCTGCCTTTGCTGTTGATGTTGTTACTGCTGCTGCTGATACTGCTGGAGTTGATCTGAGACTGTAGACATTCAAATAAACAGAAATATAGGGTATTAGCTGAATAAATCATTTTTATGTGACCATGTCAAGATGTAAAGATTGCTGACAGTGTTTGGAACTGGCTCACTAGTTCACTGACCTGCTAAAGCTACAGATTCTACCCAGGCTGCTAAAGTATATAATACAATAATAGTATATAATAGTTACCTTACTAGGGCAGATGTTCACAGAGGCTTCTGCACACAAAACATAAGATACTAACTGGTAAGCCTATGTGATAACTTACCAGAGTTGTGATAATCATTTTTATGTGAAAATATTTTTTTTAATAAATACTGTAATAATAATAATAGTTTAAAGTAAAAATAATAGTTTTTAGTCAAATAACACCCTCCACGCCCGTGAAACTTTTCTCCCTCAAACAGCAAGCTAACGTTACTTCTACAGCCTACACACAGCAATACAAACAACATCTCTCTGCATGCTCTCTTCACGTCGTTCTAGTAAAATAATAATAATAAGTAAACAAACATCAAAATCACTTCGCTGAGAATAAAACACCACTTACCAGCAGCCGCAAGACTTGAAGATATCCTCTGGGAATGCGCGATTGCGCGTAGCCGCGCGAAATTATAAAATGCGCGTGCAGCGTGAGGAATCAGGTGAAAGGTCATCATGTGGGTCATTTTATTTACGGCTAAATTATTATTCATTCATTTTACTACTAGTTAGATGGGGCAGGCATCCACAAAAGTGCCTTTAAATACAAAAAAAGGAGAGGAAATTTTGTCTTGACAAAAGGGCACTTTGGGCACCAAGGGGCAAAAGGGCAGGTGCTCGAGCACCCAACGCCCCCCCCTCTGCACGTGCCTGGAGACGAATGGAGTGGACTGAGCGAAGGAAAACAAATAGCACCTTCACATGGTTAGATAGTCTGGGAAATACACTAGCAAGCACTTTGTAGATGTTCCCAAGGTTTTTTTCTTTACACTGAAATGAGCAGAATGACAAGTAAGCTTAGATTCTGCTCATAACTAGTCATGTGTGAATAATAACATGCTGGATCTGAATTAATGGTAACCGTTCACCTTCCGTCTAACATGTTAAGCAATATATAATTCATCACATGAGTATATTATTTAGTATATTTCACAGTCCTTAAGGCTGGTATTAAATGTGCTTGACAGCTAATAGTTATTTTGATAAAGCAGAACTTAGTATAAAAATAAGTGTCTAACAAAAATTAACAATTGTTTTAAATAACGTATATAACGGGTGCTAACAGGCTCACAAACATGGGGCAAAAGGCACAAAGTAGTAATATATTTTGATTAGTATTTAAGTTGATACTTGTTCAAAGCTATTTTCTTTTTATTTTGATGAAAAAAATAATTTATTTTTGTTCAATGAATATACTCATTAATATGTTCCATTTAAAAATACAGAAACAAAAGTAAAGATTCTGAAAGAGTTGAATAAGATCCCATAATAATTTAATATAGTAACAATAAAAATTTAATTTAAGTATATGATTAACATCATATTTTTGATTTTGATTTCATTTTAAATATGGTGATTATCTCTAAGGTGGACACCCAGCATAATATATGATATTATTGACCATGTGAATCTAACAAAAGTTAACAAATGAAAAAGTCAGCCAGCTATTTATTATCATGTTAATTATTGTGTCTTTTGCCCCGAAAGCTTTTACTCCAGATACCTTACTTTTACATATTCTTCAGTGAAAACCTTTGCTTTTACTGCCTTGAACAAACATTAAAAAGACCGTCTCAAAATATTGATCATTTTATCCATTCTCTTTTGCTGCATAAATCAAATTTCATAAAACATTAAATGGCAGAATCAACTTTGCTCTGCGGTCCGCGATCGCATTAAGAATCAGCCAAATTCCCACGTCCATATTCAAATGCGCTTGTTAAAAAAAAGTGCTGAGGTTAACTTTTGTGCAGGCGGAGAGAAGTCAGATGCACGCCGCACACACATACAAACTGTGTGTATGTGTGTATATATATATATATTCCTGAAAATCCATTTTTTTTTTTTTGCTCTAATTTACAAATTATAAAGGCTAAAATAATAATGGGATGCTGCCTGTTGCACTTGCTGTTGTTTTTTCTTCACCGCACATTTTCACTTTGCAAATGTAAAAATATAATAGACTTGTCTATATATTTTAGACTTTGTCTGTATCTTTATGCAGTATGAGGACAGTGGTTTTGAAAGACACATCAATGGATCAATATGTGATGGCCCTTTTTTTACGGTTTTCTGGAAAAGTATGACGACTGTGGCAAAAAAACAAACCTCTTTAATGACTTCTTCAAAAATTATATAATCAAATGATTCAAATTTTTCTGCTTCAACGAATAGTTTGCAAAGGCTTTATACTTTCATCTTGTTTACTGGAATCAGATTCATTATGAACAAACCTTTTGTTGGGATTGCAAGAGAATTAGTGATAATGTTCAAACCTCACACCAATGACTCACTCCATTAACTGAATCCATTATTATGCAACCCTTATGTAACATTGCGAAAGATCATTCATTATTTAAACCTTTTTTTTTTTTTTTAAATGATATTTTTTGCTTTTATTCACGGAAGAAAGGGTTTTCATTTTTCTTCTGACAGGTCCGACTTCAGTTCTCTGCACTTTCAGAGAGCTGTCACATTTCCTCCATCAATATCTATCAGGACTCAAGTCAATATGTCCGCTTTCGAAAGCCATTCTTATTCTGTTCAAAGGCCGAACGAGAGCTTATCAGAAAAATCCCTCTCTCAATGAGCTAAGCACCAGGCCTCCTTTTCTTTCACCCCAACATTCTCTCTCTCTCATTCAATCGAATATAATTACACACACGTTAGGGGTCTATAATGTTAATTCAGTGAAACCTGTGTGGGGAGAATTCAACAATAATGGTGATCTTAGTTCAGGGCCAGAGGGCTTCTTTAAACAATGGGGGTCCATAGATGGGTTACAAAAGCTACTCCCAGTGCAGCACTTAGTAGAAACTACCAGCAAATGGATCTAAATCCCCTGTGCTTTCTTTTCTACACCCACAGAGGATGTCCACATTCACTTTCAGAAGTGTGAGGTGGAGTATCTGCAGTTTGCTTTCCGCTGGATGAATAATCTGCTGATGAGAGAGCTGCCGCTGCGCTGTACCATACGCCTGTGGGACACATACCAGGTACTGCGGCACCAAACCAGCAAGACATTTAGAATGAAAACATGTCAGAAAAGCCTTTACTTGTGCTTCTATGTCTATGTGCCCTTTATCTGATCATTTTTTTCCCGAGTGCCCTGGGGTTAAGCGTCTTGATCAAAAACAAAAACCTACAAATTTTGGTTACCAGCCCAAAACTTGAACCACCAGTAGGGGGTGTACATATTTGTGCTGAGAATTAGTTTTGTCAGTTCGGTTACTTTGGTTTAGTACCATTTTTGCTTTCGTCTAGAAATGTATCATTTGCCCGACCTTTTTAGGAAGCAAATCATTATACCACCTAATTAATATTTATTAAAATTAATATTACAAAATTCAGTGTAGGAATAGAAATGTGAATTATTATTATTATTATTATTCTGTCAAATATGAATGATGATAAATAATAAAGTTTCCCTAAACACCCAAATATTGAATATTGGAATATTGACAAAAACAAAACCATTTTTGTACAGTACTACTGTCAAGTATGTATTGTAGTTTTGTGTATATATATATATATATATATATAAAATAGCATGTCATTTTATTTATAAAAAAATTTATTTATTTTTGCAGGAAAAAAGAAATTAAATAAAAAATCTTGTTTGGCCATTTCAGAAGATGGTTTTATGAAGAGGTTCATGTCCATTTGTATTTATTTTTATATTGAGTTTTGTTATAGTAGTTCTAGTTAATTATTAAATTCCACAACTGATGCATTCAATGTCTTTTTACTAGTGCTGTCAAATGATTTTAAAAAACGACTAATTAATTACACATTTTTCTGTAATTAATAGCATTTAATCCCATCTAACTAAAGACTTTATATAGTAATTTCACATTGAATCTCCAAATTAATGTAGAATCAGCATAAAGAGAGTATATTTTAAATATTTATTTAATAGCATCTTTTTGTGAAAGAAGGCCAGTCTCACCAATACCAATTCTGATGTCTCTGATGAATTGAATATTTTCTTTTCTAAATTTATCCATTAATTATAGCCATTCAAAGTTACAGTATAATTGAAATCTATCAGTTTTAACATTTATTAGGCTTTAGAAATACAACCACCACAATTAGCTGTGCCTTCAATATATCAGGGCACAATTTTACAATTGGCCCATTCAGACTAATTTAGATTTTTACTTCCCTGTCAAAATGCATAAAAATGTATTGTTTTCATTGTTTTGACCAATGTAACCTTGTAAACATTTTCAGGTAGGTCTAACGAGTAGGAAATATAAAAAAAATTAAAGATTAATTAGATTAATGCTTATTAAAGCTACAGAAGTTATTCAGTCAAGAGCAATGAGTGATTTTCTTTTGTTCTTTAACAATAATGAAAGACATCACAGCATCAGGTTTATTAGACTGCTGTCACTAAGACCTTATGCACATGACACTAATTCTGACACACGCATCCTATTTTCTCGCAACTCTTTACGCTTGTAGAGAGGTTTATAGGACCGGTGAACATTTCACAATTTAATTATTATAAAATAAACAAACAGAAAATTAAAGTAAAGTGGCAGCCCCTCATGGACGACTGTCGCATACAAAAAAAAACAACATAAAATAGTCCTGGCCTGGTCCTCTCTCATCCTTCACTGTGAGAGCCCCTTCATGAGAACTCAAAGCTGGTGTGGAAATGAATCGCATGCATCGTGTTCATTTTGACAGCCCTTCTTTTTACATCCCTAGTCACCCCTATGTCACCTCCTGTAACGGGGTTTGCGGGAATAATGCAGACTCCCATGAATGATTGCTGATCTTCAAGTAATTTTTTTAAAGGCTTCAGAGGTTATGGGTGACATGTCCTTGAACACCATATGCTGCTCATACATTTTTTTTTTCTTGTTAAAATCACAAAGGTGTGAACTACTCATATTCCTGTCATTCATTAATATTCCTTTGAAGAGTTTCCTTCCACTGATTTCCTTTCGTGTCCTGTCTTCATGTCCTCTCTGAGACTTCCTTTTGATATATCTCCTTGCTCATTTCTTTGTCCTTTTACGCCTGCCTCCGCCTATCTGCCGATCCATCTCTCATGCATGGCTTTTAGACGTAGATCCATTCCCACAAGGTGGGTTTTATCGGATAAAGGGCGAATAGTTGTCAGGTGACAAGTACAATCCAAGAGAGGGAATGGCGAGTAGTGAACCATTTGCATGATATTTTCTTCTGTACGTTTTGAATCAGCGTTGTTGCCAAACATTGTTGATAGCCATGTTTGATCATCAGCCCCTTTAAAGAAGACCTATTATGCCCTTTTACAAAGTCTTGATTTTGTTTTTGGGGTCTAATAGAATAGCTTTTCTTGCTTAAATGTTTAGAAAACATTTTTCATATTTTACGTTGTTGCAGCACCTCATTTCCCAGTCTGTCAGTAAAGGTCTGTTTAGTTCCTGTCTCTATGAAGCCCCTCCTTCTGAAAAGATTGGTCGGCTGGACCAGTGTGTTGTGATTGGTCAACCACTTCAAGAATGTTCCCAAAATGTCACCTTAACCACAACCGTGAGTTTCAATGGGGGCAATCCCCCTAATTTGCATATGTCTTGGGTGGGAATTATTTAAATAAGGAATATTGTGACGTGTTCGTTCCCGAAAAAAACTCAAGACTGCAATGAAGGCATTTCAAGAAGTTCCGAAACAGTGCTTACTGATAGAGAATAACTCTGTTTGGAGTGACTTTGTAACCTTGCAGACATTTTTTTTATGCTCAAACTGTTGAAAGTTGAAAATCATAAAAGGTGCTCTTAACATATTTTAACATTTTTCTTAACCGCATGTGTAAAATAGTAAGATTTACAGTGTTAAGCTCTGCTCGACAAGCACAGTTTTCGTCCAGTTATTTCCCATCTGTTCTTTCTCAATTCCTGCTTCTTTTTTTCTTTTACTTATTTCCTCAGGCATTTTCACAGTAGGGTCAGGGTTGGGACGAGCAGTAAAGGTGGCATTGACCCCCCTCACTGAGGTTGTAACCGTCCAACTGAGAGCTCTCAGAAGGGCACATCACACATAAATTTATGAGATTGGACTCTATTGACTATAACATCTTTAACCAGACTCAGAAACTCTCAAACCATAAGTTCAAACGCAGAAGTAGTTGCAGAAGTGTCTATATCAAATTCTTCCCTGTCTCCTTCAAATGTAATGATAGATCAAAGAGAGACATGCAGATCATCTATTTCATAAATAAATAAAACTGTTAATGTTATCAAAAAAATTACACTAAGACCCCATTTACACCTGGTATTAAAATGCGATCTGTATTATCCAGATAAGTTATCCGGATAATAAAAAACGCATGTTAATGCAAGGTGTAAATACGTTGTGATCGGATCTGCCTGACCACATCTGGAGGTAGTCTGGCTCGCATTGTGTTCGGATCTTTACTAGGTGTAAACGCAATCTGGTTGTTGAAACCACATATGTATATTTTACTCCTCCAAAAAATGCTAAAAAAATAAACGAGTGAGAGCGTGTTATATAGACTATTTGTCATGTTATAGTCAGATATGATGGCGCTACTGCGACACGCATCACTGCAGATGAGCAGCTGAGCGTCTATTCATCGAGCCAACATGCAAACATCGCAAATAAAAGTGAAAGTAAGTCACAGACGCTTAACACACAATCATCTTCAAGTAAAGAAACGAAATTATCTTACCAGCGCTGTTGCCACTCTCTCTTATTGATGTCTTTGATTTGGAAATTAGCTGATCAATAAAATGCAGCTCATATCTGTTGCTTTTGGTGGCGTGCAATCCATTAAATCTGCATATAACGCAGGAGTTGAAGATCAGATTTATATCCGTTTTGCAAAAACACATTTATGTGGCCAGGTGTAAATGGAATCGGTACTTGTATCCGGATAACTTCTCTGGATACAGATCGCATTTTAATACCAGGTGTAAATGGGGTCAAAAATTATTTCCATCAAGATTTTGTCAAGATCTTGTATTGACAATGCAAGAGTCCAACACTCTGTAAAGTCTCCTCCAGAACATCCCAAAGACTTGCAATGAATTTAAGGTCAGGGCTCATTCATGAGTGAAAATGATTCTTCATGCTCCCTCAGAACCATTATTTCACAATTTGAGCCTGACGAATCTTGACATAGTCATCCTGGAATATAGCCATGATTTGTCTTCCTACATGGTTGTTTGAGAAATGAAGACATACACACAGGGTTTGAAGAACTGTTGGCAAACATATCACATGCTAGAAACAAATGACTGTGATAATGATCCAGATACACTCTATCTGTATCAAGCTTTTCCCTATTTAAATCCAAACAGCGACCTTTTTTTGGCCATTCAGTGAGATCTCCATATCAATATACATTGGGAATTTGTAGACCTCTTTCCAAATAGTTGAACAATGATAAAAGGCCATGTAAAATATAAAGCAGAAAGATGCCACATTGACAAGGGGTGCCTATAAAGCAAACTTTAGGACAACTTTGCAGAACTGGCTCATGAATGTTAATGAGATTAGCTGAGAGGGCAGTCCAGGTTGTGTAGCAGCATCTGCAAGATTCAATTTATATTCATGAGCTCAGCCATCATTTATCGTGACATCACAATGCATTTTTTTTTCTTTTCATATTTTCTTTTGGATAACATGGCTTAATGAAAGCAGATTTGGGTACATTTTGTTGCCATCTAGCGTTTTGTAATAAACTACCATTGTTAAAATGGCTTGAATTTATTCGAATTACACCGAATAATATGTTCCTGGTTAATTGTTAATGAATGCTTTCATTGACGTTATCCAGTGAGCACAGCAGACACGTGTTGCATGTTGGGCGGACCAGACTAAGTTAATTAGATGAGAGGGTTTTATCCACTCTTATGAGGTTAAAGGCAGAGAAGAGTCTCAACTTCTCCCGGGCTCCTTTATCAGGTCCCTCCTGTAATTGCACGTTTGGCACAAAGACTCACTCCTCAAGATCAATTAGAGGTGCACAAAGAGCTCAGGCCAGAAAGAAAGAGATGTGGGTGAACAAAATGAAGAAGGGGAGAGAAAGAGCTGTGAAGACAAAAAGGAAAGTCTTGCTAATGTCTGACTGATGTTCTAAAGCATCTGCATCTTCCGGGACCCGCCCCCTCCATTAGTGAGATGGGTTTTGTTGAGAGGTGGAGGAGTTCCTAGGATAGAGACTTTTGTTGCTGAGTCTTCACTCATCTTCTAGGGGTCATATAACGGTACATGCACTTTTTCCAGTTGATTGTACTAAAATGTGTGTTGGCAGTGCCTGTACACAACCATCATATAATAATAAAAATCCATCCAGTGTTTTTGTTTTAATCTCTTTGTATGTTTTTCCCCGCCTCAAATCGAGCCGTTCGCCCCTCCCACGATTGTTGATTGACAGCAGCATTTCAACATAGACGCCTGAGCGAGCTGTCATCATAGTCCATGATTGATATGCTGGAGCAGAATGGCGTCTAAGCTAAAGACGCAGTGGCTGAGTTTTGTTTTCGAAGGGAATATTTCCCACGATCAACGTCAATGCATTTGTTTGCACGAATCATTTCTCATCAGACGAGGGTAGGGCTGGGCGATAAAACGATAACGATAATTATCGCGATATAATTTTCCTCGATAAAACGATATCAAGAGGTCGATAAATGTTCGATAATATTTATGCGTCAAAAAAGCGGAACGAAACTCATTTAAACCGCGCGCGCCACACGGAGCATTTATCCGCTCGGCTCAAAGTCCAAACGGCAGTGCATTGAGCGGAGCGCGAGCTCACGCAGACGCGCCTCTGATCGTTTTGCTCACGAGATCCAGTGAGAAGCACTTGAGTTCAGCGAAGAACACAAATGTCAAGTTTAAACCAGTTTAAAGGCAGATTAAACACCGCTGACAAAAAGGAGAAACACTGCGTGCAACGATACAGTCAGAATCTGAATTGATACTGAATCCATTTAGCTTCCCATGGATTTACTGTAAGGTTAGCCTGGTAATATTAACTGCACCATGAAATGTGGGATATACATATTGAATTGTATAATATTATTAATGTTGACAATGTATTATGACTAATGGAATATAAGTACAGTATTTAATAATGTATTTAGCTGTCAGGCTATTGTTTTTCATTAAAAAAATACAGAAAACAAAGTTATGCCATGATAGTGAGGAGCTAAGTTATAGGCTATACCTGGTTTTATCTGTGGTTATCATGATCTAAATGCATGATACTGAATGACCAATGGTTAATTTGAATGCAACTCAAACAGTCAGAATATTACTTTTTACCAAATAAAAATGTGGTTGTTACATAAGAAAAAAAAAAGGAAAAAAAAACAGATGTTACTGTTTTTGTTAGTGAACATAAATTTAAAGAGTAGTTTAAAAACACAATTAACACTCTGGTTTATACAACTTTGTTGCAAAAATATGCCTTTAAACTTGAAAAAAATAAATATTTGACATATATCGTGATAATTATCGATATCGACTGATATAAAAAAAATTATCGTGATAATTTTTTTTGGCCATATCGCCCAGCCCTAGACGAGGGTCTAAAGCTGGTTTTGCTAAGAACTGGTTTTCCAGGCAGTAGCGTAGAGTGGAGCTCAACTCTAGTCTACATTGATGGGCGGGGTAGTGGAAGTGGCCTGCTGAGCATTGCAATGCACTGTGGGGATTGTTGTCTACAATCCACAAGCACTAAAAAGGCATTTTCTGCCTTTTATCGGCCAAGAAGGACCCAAATTAGAAATTTATGATACTATTCTACTACATATATGACCCACTTTCAATACATATTCATGTCTCCACCGGTGGAAAGACCCTTTAAATGATGCCCAATTGCCACTAAGTGGCCTATAGTGTGCCAAGCACACATCCCCCACACCATTACACCACCACCACCAGCCTGCACAGTGGTAACAAGGCAAGATGGATCCATGTTCTCATTCTGTTTACGCCAAATTCTGACTCTACCATCTGAATGTCTCATCAGAAATCGAGACTCATCAGACCAGGCAACATTTTTCCAGTCTTCCAGTCCAATTTTGTTGATTTTTCTTAGAAACATGTCTTAAAGGACAACTCCGGTGCAAAATGAACCTTTGGTCTAATTACACATTGTTACCTACTCAACCGTTATCTGAGATTTGTTTTCATGATTGTCGAATGTAAATAGTTTATCTCTAAAAACAGTTTAGCCTATAATGCTAGTATAACGCTAGTATATAGGGCATAGAGTAATGACAAATAAAAATCGCCTGTTATTACCACTAACAAGGCTCAAAATAGCCCCACAGTAACAAGACAGCATAATAAGGGTCCCTACATTCAAACCGAAGCATTGAGAACTTTGTCAGTGTCCAAACAGTTTAATAAGAAGATATTTTATACACACAGTCAACTTCGCGAATACAGGAAGAAGCCATCTTTGAAAAATAGTCTCTACCAGTCGATCTACGAACGCCGATCCAAGTGCGCTGGTGAGATGTGAATAAGGTGATGAGGTGAGCACGAACAGTAGGCTACTTTGAAGACAAGAAAACGGTTCGTTTTTGTGTTTCTTCCAAAAACAACGGACCATAAGGAAATTCTGCGCAGTTCAGCGCACATGGATCGGCGTTCGTAGATCGACTAGTAGAGACTATATTTCAAAGATGGCTTCTTCCTGTATTCGCGAAGTTGACTGTGTGTATAAAATATATTCTTATTAAACTGTTTGGACACTGACAAAGTTCTCAATGCTTCGGTTTGAATGTAGGGACCCTTATTATGCTGTCTTGTTACTGTGGGGCTATTTTGAGCCTTGTTAGTGGTAATAACAAGCGATTTTTATTTGTCATTACTCTATGCCCTATTTACTAGCGTTATACTAGCGTTATAGGCTAAACTGTTTTTAGAGATAAACTATTTACATTCGGCAATCATGAAAACAAATCTCAGATAACGGTTGACTAGGTAGCAATGTGTAATTAGACCAAAGGTTCATTTTGCGCCGGAGTTGTCCTTTAACAGTGCCATTTTTAATATTATTTAATTTATTAAATATTTAATTTTTTCACAGTGCAAAAGTCCTCTCTTTGTTCCCTCAGTTTTGAAGAAATAACAATAAAATGGGATTTGAACCTGGTGTCTTCTCGCACATAAAGCGAGAAACACCTTGGACCAACACAACTCATAATTTGATAACTGATAAACTGAACTCCTAGAATCGCTTGTAGTTCTTTCAATTTCTTTGTCTTGATAAAAATCCAACTTTTTCCTCCTTCCTCATTATCCTCCTCTTTCCCCCATTTCTTCTCACTTCAAGAGGGACAGAAACAAAAGCAAACAAAGCTATTTATAACCGCTCGCTGCCTCTCAAGTGACTGAATGTACCACACTGTACAAAACACAAGTAGAGGGGGAGAAAAGAGGATGAGGAGCGGAGAGCTGGAATGAGTGGTGTCTTTAGATATGTTGGGAATAACTAACGCGACCGAATTCCCAGTCCAATAAATTAGATAGATGGTAAAACTACATTAGGAGCTCTGTGTGTAGGCACACTCAACTCTAGCTGAATAACTGAATGAATAATATTTTCTAACTCGTATTACTCATCGTGGAAGTAAGCGGTTCTTTTTATTTCTTCGCTGGAGCAGCAGCAAATCCGGTTCAAATGAAGACTGAAGAATCCTCACGCAGATCTTGTCAACCATTTATACCGACCCTGTCTGTCAGTGTCAAAAAATGCAAAAACACCATAAAAGTGGCTCATATGGTTGTTCTTTTAGTATTATATACCATTTATTAATATTTTAAATTAGCTTTTATTTTTATATTGCCACTTAGTTTAAAAGTCAAGTCACATTTATTAATATAGCGCTTTTCACAATACAGATCGTATCAAAGCAGCTTCACAGTGATAACATGAAAGTAGTACAACACAGATCAATAATATTGTTAAATATTAAATAACCCCAACTGAGCAAGGCGACAGTGGCAAGGAACCAAAACTCCATCAGATTGGATGGAGAAAAAACCTTGGGAGAACCCAGGCTCAGTCGAAGGCCAGTTCTCCTCTGGCTTACATTCATATTGTTTATATATTAAATATAAATATTGTTTATGTATAAAACGGCGCCATAACATATCGCAGGCGTTGAGTCGTCTCTTCAGAGGCGCTGGTCCTCTCATCACAATTTTAAAATGAAAATTAAAAATTTTATTAGTTTAGCTTTAATTTATTCCATTTTAGTTTTAGTAATTTTAGTACTTAAATGTATTTCATCTAATATTTATAATATTAGTTCTGCTGGTGAGGTGCATTTTCGAATATTTTTTTTTTCATAGCTTTCAAACCTCTTTTTTTACTCTTTTTTTCATGTTCAGAAATGGCCTGGTTTGATATCATTGGTTCTCAAAATATGGTGAATAATTACTTCAATTTCAGTCTTAGTGGGACCGGTGCTACATCGGTCTGGAGCCCAGTATAGTAAGACTTCAAAGGCTCTAAATATAGCACATTGTGGCACTTTCATGTTGTTGTTTTTCATAAACTGCTGTTGTAAGGGGGAACACAGACTTTGTTAAACCTTCAAGTTCTATTTAGTTTTTCAAAGCAGCTTCATGAAGTCATAATGCCAAAGACAACTGTGGTGAGCAAAAAACTTCTTAAGATGTTCAGGTATACAGACAAAAAGCCTTAAAAGGAACCAATACGATGGCGAATAAATGACAACATTTTTAATTTTGGATGAACTATTGCTTTAAAGCTCAAGACTGGTAACTGGAAGGTTGCTGGTTCAATCCCTGCGAGGAGCAAACCTCGAGCCATCATTATTTTGCCCTTTGAGAAAGCCACTTAACCCCAGGGGTTGTCTCTCTAATAAGTGTGCTGTATGTCACTTTGGATAATCGTCTGCTTAATGACTGCTTACTTATGCAAGCATGTGCATTCTGCTCTGTATCTGCTCTTGATCCTCAGGCGGAGTCAGAGGGATTCTCACATTTCCACCTCTACGTGTGCGCCGCCTTCCTCATCAAATGGCGGAAAGAGATCCTCTCCATGCTGGACTTTCAGGTACCGATATGTTTCCGTGTTTCGTGCATGTCACGGCCGCTGGGCTCCTTGAATGAGCTTAGGTCCTTTACATGCGACCGTCTGCACATCTTCCCACACATGCATGAATCACTTGAAAGCGTCCCGGCCGTCACTTATCCCGAGACTATCGGAATAATTGGCCCTCCAGTGGAGAGGCCTACTCTGTAACCGAATTTCACAGACCAGCGGATTCACCCACACCTCAGCGCCCGCGAAACGAGAACGTTCTGTTGTTTGCCCCCGTTCTCTCTCTCTTTGGAAGGATCTCCACGCCTCAGCTCCGTCTCTGATTCTCTCGTTTATTATTCGCCTCATTGTCAGGTCGGGTAGAGAAGGGTTTGATGAACAGCTATTTGAGCTTGAGTTTATACTCGGGCTGTCAATGGTTTAAAATAATCACATTTAATCATCTATGGACGGATGATCGTGTTCACATGGTCGCTTTCACAAATTTGCTTATTTGATTTGTAAAAACTTCTATAAATATTAATAATAATATTTACATTTAATGGTGTTGTTGTTGAGAAAATCTGTGATGCGATCATATGAAAATTAAAATAAAATAAATATTATACTTAAAATATTTAAGACAAAAGTTTTTAAATATAGTTAATATTAACATTAAATGGTTGTTATTTTATTAAGATAAGTAGTTTTAAAATAAATATAAATAGTTATTTCCCCATGATCGCTATCACAGATTTACTTGATTTTAAATAATAATATATAAATAACATACATATTCATATTAATATTTTATTCTAAAATATAATTATTATCATCGTTGTTATTATTAATAAGAATCTTTTATACCAATGTTTTTATGTTTATTATTCAATATTTACATTTTTATGCTATATAATCCCAAATAAATAAAATTCCCATAAGTTTAAATTAGATTCTGGATCCCAAATTTTCTTTGTAGTCTTAGCCCACTCTTTTTTTTTTCTTACCAAACATCAAAGATGTTGATGTTCGCTATAGTCTTCTGGTCCTTTAACCATTCATAAGATTGCACATTGAGGAGACTTTCACTTGTAGGTGATATTTCAGACTTTTTGAGCTTTGATGGTTATTAGTTTACTCCTTCAAAGACTGCAAATGTCCCGTCTGGATTTGATTTATAAATAAATCACTGAGGTGTTTCTCCATTATTTACTGGTAGATGAGCTTCTGTTTACAGGATTGTTGTGCCTGAGAATTGAACAAAGACACCTGTGTTTTTGCAAATCGAAAAAAGAAAAAATAATAATAATAATATTACACCATTGTTGGTTAATGCCGTAATGGTTTTAAGTCAATTTAACCATGTCAAACATCTTTGATCAGTCTTTTAAGTTAACGTAGTTTAGATTCATGCCGTACTATTCGGTCATATATATATATATATATATATAATGAAGAGTTCAGATGCAAAAGCCTCTAAATGCCATTTGAAATTTTCTTCTTTAATGATGATTTTTATCAAACTTGTATATTTATGTTCAGTAATTTCACTTAAATAACAATTAATAGGTAATTATCATTGCCATTTAAGTGAAATTACTGAACTTAAATATACAAGTTTGATAAAAATCATCATTAAAGAAGAAAATTTCAAATGGCATTTAGAGGCTTTTGCATCTGAACTCTTCATATATATATATATATATGCTGTTGTGATTTTCTTTCTTTTTTTTATCCCAAAGCTCAAGGGCAGTTAGCAACTTTAAAATCAATGATTTTCTGCTTGTATGCTACTGTGCTAAAATTACCAGACCGACTAAACCCGAGATCTGATCTTACACAGAGTGAAGCTGATTATGATAGATCTGTTCTTGTGCACTTACAGCAGCTGTAGGTGGTGGGATACCCACACACACTAAACACACAAGCAGTGACCTAAGACCAGCACCAATCATGAATCATGATATCCTAACATTGTAATCATGCCGTGATTACAAGCATTTCCAGTTGAGAACAGTAGAAATGCGTTTCTAAGAATAGCTGATAGCCAGGAAACTGTATTTTTTAAGTTGGAAGGCTGCTACCACCAGATTGATGGAGCTCTTTAAATGATCCAGTTTAAAAGAATGTGTGTTTTATGTCTTTTCAGAGCCTGCTAATTCTCCTGCAGAACCTTCCCACAATACACTGGGGCAACGAAGAGGTGGGTTTACTACTGGCAGAGGCCTACAGACTCAAATACATGTTCGCTGACGCTCCGAGCCACTACAAGAGATGAGAACCCGTAACCAGACCACGACGAGACTCCGCAAAACCCAGACGATGATCTGACCTAACAACGACACTTCTTCGCTCGGTTTAATCTGACACAGTGAAGTTAGAGCTCACCAATTTTCGCCAATGACGTCAAATTTGTGTCATCGTCTTTTACAATTCACAATAGAGAATGAGACAAAACGGATATTTTGGAAAAAAATAAACTGCAATCTTGATGTCTGACAGTTCAATTTGCCTGCAGAGGACTTCAGAAGATAACTGACACCGAGATGCCAAGCGCTGTGGAACAGAAAGCGCTTTGAGAGTATAAACAGACGGACATGACACACTGGCATTGTTTCTCCGAAGGCTTCCTCCATTTGTTACCTCAGATGTGAAGAAACCATCTCTCTCGGTTTTATTTTTGTGGCAGCCCCCCCCCCCATGATGTTCTCTTGCTTTGTTATTAGAGCATAATGTGATCTCCTCTGACCTTTTGCTCATTGCGACATTGATTGTACACGGGTCGATTCCCGTTGAAATCACTCGGAGACGGCGTTATTGAAGCTCTGCAATACATGAAACTATGGCAGCCGTAAAGGGTCATTTCTCAAGAGACGCAGCCAAGCATTACGGATTCGAAGAATCGATATGCAACCTCCAGAGGATTTGTTTGGGTTTAGTTTTGGGTTTTTATGTTTTATTTAGACTGTATATTAACAATCAAACGTGAGAATCTAATCTTTTAAAGTGGCTTTGTATTCGTATGAAGCTCTTGCACAATTATTTCTTAGAAAACTGGTACTTTTAGAGCTTTAGTATAAGCGTTGGACGACTACTACTGATGTAACGTTTCGGCGAAGACGGCTGAATCAAACTGCAGTGAAATATTAATGTGACTATAAAGAATGAATCAGTGTGATGTGAGGTCAGCATCACTGGAGTCGTGTTGAAAGAAACCTACTGACTTGGAGACGGATTGAAGGGTTTTGGTTTTCTCTGTGTGGTACTGGAGCGTAATACCTGGCAGACACGCTTCAAGCTCCACAAATCGTAATCTTAAATACTGTTGAAGAACTGTAGATGAAGTCTCAAAGCACTGTGAAAAGGCATCTACCGTCCATTTAATCTCCCCTGGCAACCAAATTATGCAGATGCTTATGCTAATCAGATGTAGATGATCTGATTATCTCCCCTTTCCCTTTGAACCCTTGTTTCACCTCTCGGTATATTTATTAACTCCGGCTGATTCGTTTTGATTGGTGATTAATTGTTCAAGTTCTGAATCTTTCCAAAGTAGATGTGTGATCTTTATAAACTGGAGCGTAATGCGAAATGATTTTCTCGGACTTATCAAAAGCAGATATTGTCATTAAATCCTATAATCTTTTCGTATAACTTGGACCAACCCCCTGCATGGATAATCTGAATAATAAATTAAATAAGTGTCTTTCTGCTTTAATTATTGAAGCGAGTGGATGGTATTGATTAGAGGAAGGCGTCAGGATCAGTTAAAAGTGATGCTGTTGAACTTCCAGCTCAGCGCTGTGGAGGATTTTGAGTTTGCTGATGTTAAACGCTTAAATAATGTACATTTTGTCGACTCGCTGTCCTTGTTCATCCGTCAGTGACATTTGAACCTCCCTGCGCCGTACGGTCTTGCTGTTGCAATCTATTTTTGATGAAGCATTTGCAGTGCTGGACTCTTATTTTGAAGTGAACTGGAATGTGTATGTCTTTAGGTTTATACTTTTAATGAGCTGATACTCACTCCAGAGATAATTAGTTTGCTCGTCACCCCTTTAAAGTGCGCTAATGAAAGGGTGACTTATTGTCTCAAGGGTTGAGATTGCTGACCCTGGTGAGGAGATGAGGTGGTAATTATTCATGAGATGCACTGAGTGAATTTACAGATTAGCTCCCGTTTTTAGTCTTTTGAATGATGAAAGTCTGAAGATTTGTTAAGTCAACATGAAATCAAAATGGACACCATTTACTTCCTTAATACATATTGCCTGCGAGTCATTAGAGCACATTGTGATTTGGCCTTCATAATTACCGTCTCTGAAACACGTTTTTTATTTTCTACTGATGTTATTTAGGTCAAAGTTAACCATCAGCCTCCATGTCTGGCTCTTGTACACACCCTTTCTCAATGCCTTATCAAAAGTGTAACGCGTTTTGTCTCGCTCTAGCTAATCAAAAACAAAGCTTTTCTTAATTGGTTATTGCTGTGGTAAGTACTGTACACTACAGTTCAAAGGTTTTGGGGTTGGTAAGATTTGTTTTTAATGTTTTTGAAATAAGTCTTTTATGCTTATATAGCCAGGCTGCATTTATTTCATCAGAAATATAGTAAAAACTATATATATATATTATCACAATTTACAAACTGTTTGTTCGTCAATCCCGTGATGCAAAGCTGAATTTTCAGCGTCATTACTCATTACTTCAATGTCACATCCTTCAGAAATCATTCTAATACGCTGAACTGGTGATCAAGAAACATTTATTATTATTATCTTTAATAATATCTTTATCTTTATTATTATTACCTCTTTAAAACAAAGGGGTTGTGCTGCTTAATAATTTTGTGAAAGCCATAATACTTTTTTTTCAGGATTTTTTCAAGTATAATAGATAAAATAGAAATCTTTGTAACTTTAAAAATGTCTTTACTGTCATTATTAATTTAAAGGAGTAGTTCACTTTTTAATTTTTTTTTTGCTGATAATGTACTCACCCCCATGCCATTCAAGATGTCCACGTCTTTCTTTCTTCAGTCAAAAAGAAATTTAGGTTTTTGATGAAAACATTCCAGGATTTTTCTCCATATAATGGACTTCAATGGGAACCAAACGGTTCAAGGTCCAAATTAGACTTTCATTGCAGCTTCAAAGGGCTTTAAACGACACCAGACGATGAATAAGGGTTTTATCAAGCAAAACGATCGGTCATTTAAAAAATAAATTAAAAAAAAGTATAAAGTTTAAAGCCCTTTGAAGCTGCACTGCAACTCTCATTTGGACCTTGAACCGTTTGGTTCCCATTGAAGTCCATTATATGGAGAAAAATCCTGGAATGTTTTCATCAAAAACCTTAATTTCTTTTCAACTGAAGAAAGAAAGACATGGACATCTTGAAAGACATGGGGGTGAGTAAATTATCAGCAAACATTTTTTTTTAAAAGTGAACTACTCCTTTAAGTAATCCTTGCTGTATAAAGGTATTAATCTCCTTTTGAACAGTAGTGTACACTGTAAACGCAATTTTCTTTCATTTCTATTGGAGAACCCATAAAGCTGTCTCAGCCAATACAGTGGCTTTATTTAAGAGGGAAGATATGATTCTGCGGCAGTTTAGGATCTCGTATGATGATGCAGATGATGTTTCAGACATGCACTAGTCCTACAGAGTACACTGCAAACTCACATTCAGCTTCATTCTGGTACAGTATGTAACGCTCACTTTATATCCTGATGGATAAAATATTAATGTCCACCCTGCATTTTGTTCTGGAATATTATGCTCCACTTAAATTGGTTGCCATTTTGTTTTAAACATGCCATTTCATGTTGACTTTTACAATTCTGGGCATTTTCATCATGAATGTTTTAAACAGTTTCTCAGACACATCTGATTGTATTACATCTATTGCCTTTTCCTGCATGTGCATTCATACCTTTGTTTTTGCAAGTACACATTAACCCAATGTTTTTTGATGATTCCGTCTGCTTATGGTACAAATGACGAGTATTATCTTATCCTGAATCTTGGACCCTGTTTACACCTGGTATTAAGAAGTGTTTTCGCCAATCCGATCACAAGTGGACGAAGCTAAATAGAGGAGACGACGGTAACACTTTATTTGAAGGGTTGTGCATAAGACTAACATGACGCCTTCATAATCGTGACATGACACATGCATGTTTTATGTATGTTTATGACAACTGTCATAAAGTGTCATTCACTCAATTATGACATTTTTAATGCAAATATGACATTTTTTGAGATGGCAACTTGACAAACCAATACATCATAACCTGTCAGAGTCTTTGTCATGACAACTTGATATTACTAAGACAACTTAACCTGTCATAAACATGATGACATAGCAGAATAATTATCAAACTTAAGAAACCACCTAGCTTTATTGGTTAACATTACATTAAACTGTCAGCTGGTTGGTTTTGACATTGGCTGTCATGAAGCCATTATACATTTTAATGACAATTTCAATTAGTGCCACTGTAGTTGAGGTCACGAAAAATATTCATGACACGGTTATAATGGCCTCATGACAGCCAATGTCAAAGCCAACCATATGACAGTTTAACTTAATTTAATGTCAAGTTGTCATGACAAAGACACTGACTGGTTATGATGTTATGGTTTATGTCAAGATGTCATATCAAAAACATCTTAATGTCATATTTGCATTCAAATGTCATTATTGAGCGAATGACACTTACTGTAATGACAGTTGTCATAATCATACATAAACCCTATTTCATATTCAAGACATATGTCATGTCATGGTTGTGACGGTGTCATGCCAGTCTTATGCACACCCCTTCAAGTAAAGTGTAACCAGCTTTTCCACTTCCAGAGATAGTCGAGAACACATTGGACAGGATTGCTTTCATAGTGTAATTGCTCATGTGTTCGAACAGCCACAAAAGACTGTCTACTCTACGCCTACTGAACTAATGTGTAAACAGTATTGGAAGCGCACTAGCCAGACGGGATTTAAACTGTTGGCTGAAAACTCAAGTTTTGTTTGAAAACTAAAAACTTAACAAGCACAATGTTTTCTCACCATTCCTGATTTCTAACACACACACACACACACAGTGTTTGACGTGGTCTTTCAGCTGTCAGAGCAGAAACTAAAGCTACTGCTCTCCATGTGTTTTTCCGTCGCATTTGTGTGTAAATTGCTCGAGCATATTTCATCCATTAGAACAAAATATCTGAAAAAGCCCACACGTTCATGCACCCATAGACTCTCCACTCGAACTGGTCGACGAAATCAGGACAGAAGTGGTTGAAAGTGGACAAAAGAGATCAGGCATAAACTGGAATGTGTCTCCCTCTTTTACTTTTGATCCAATTGACTAAACCGCATCTTAAAGGAGCAGTTCACATTTAAAAAAACTTTTGCTGATAATTTACTCACACCCACGTCATCCAAGATGTCCATGTCTTTCTTTCTTAAGTCGAAAAGAAATTAAGATTTTTGATGAACTTCAATGGGAACCAAACGGTTCAAGGTCCAAAAGACAGTTTCAGTGCAAACTGTTCAAAGGGCTTTTAAACGATTCCAGACGATGAATAAGGGTCTTATCAAGCGAAACGATCGCTCATTAAAAAAAAAAAAAACTAAGTTTAAGTTTTATAAGCTCAAATGGTCGCCTTGATCTGTTCTGTGATGAACGTTCGTGACTCTCCTATTTGAACTCGTTCATCAAAATGAACAAACCTTTTCCTGAGTCAACTCGTTCATTTCGTTCGTTGAATGAACCAAATGACACAAAAAAAGATTTGTTTGATAAACGAGTTCGAACATTTGCATCACAGAACAGAGCAAGGCGACCATTTGAGCTTATAAAACTTAAACTTTGTTATTTGTTTATTAAATGAGCGATCGTTTCGCACGAATCGTTTAAAGCCCTTTGAACAGTTCGCAGTTTGTACTGAAACTGTCTTTTGGTTCCCACTGAAGTCCATTATATGGAGAAAATCCTGGAATGTTTTCATCAAAAACCTTAATTTCTTTTCGACTGAAGAAAGAATGACATGGACATCTTGGATGACATGGGGTGAGTAAATTACCAGCAAAAGTTTTTTTTTTTTTTTTTTAATACCAGGTGTAAACAGGGTTGACATGAATTCATATATTTGTTGTTTTGTTTTTTCTTCTTTCTGTCCTTTTGATTTTGAGCGAATCGACGGTGGTTAATTAATAGAATTGATGTTTTTTTTCCATAGCTTTCCCTTTCTTTTATAGAAGAAAAGAAAACGTGTGTGCCCTGCCGATTCGGCCACCATGTCTATTTATAGACATGTCCTCTACGTCTTAAGTTATTTGTCTCCTTCCAATGCTTTTTCCATCTCTCCATTTTGGGCTCTCCGCTTGGCATCATTCCTCCTTTCATTTATCCGTTCCATCCATCGGGGCTGTGTTTGAAAGATAAGCTTTCATTCTTTTTTGGATTTATTCAAAATGTAGGCTACTCTTATAATTTTAGGTTCAAATATTTGCCTTTGGTCTGCAAATAGAAAGGCTGCTTCTCCTCGTATTAGTCAGTCTACTTGTGGAGAGAGTGTTTTTTTGTTCAATTTTTTTTTTTTTTTTTTGATAATGTAGATGTGGAAGAACAGTTAGCCTACCGTGGTTTATGCAGCTCACAGCGTCATGATTGTGTTCACAGTTTGCAATGCAAATGAGTTTCTGTAGCAGCTTCATGGTGCGTCCTGATGCCAGATCTCTGTTGTTTTATTTGTGTTGTTTTCCCCACCGCGTTAAATGCCAAAATCCTCGAGTCATTGGGTTCTTATTGCTTAATCAGTGCACTCTGTAGTCCACTCTGCTTTTAGCCTTAAAGAAAAGAGGAAATGTGGGAGTTTTCTGCTGTATGTTTGATTTTTGGATCCTATTAAACTGTTGGTACTCTGTTTTAATTTCGTTATTGTGTGTGTGCGCGTGTGTGTGTAAAGAATGACCGTGTCCTCTTGATGAGTCCAGGCAGCTGACGCTCGGAAGCGCCCTGTGGAAATGTCAGCTGTAATTAGCGCTTGTTAAGCAAATGGCAGGGTTAATGACCTCGTCGTCTCCCTGCCCACAGCCACAGTCTGTTGACTGTTGACTGACTGCGACCAAACCGCCATTAAACATTTATTATTCAATTTGACCGTTCCGTCCAAGGTGTTGATGGCCATTCCAGGATGCCGCGAATTTCGAGGGGAATTATGGGACATTAGAACAGCTAATTGTGCTGTTCACCGTTTATTTTTAGCCATCCTGTCGAACATCAGGACACTCGGGGAGAGGGAGGGAAGACACCAAAGGACAAAAGGTGATTTCACAGACATGCCGTAAGTAAGTCCACAGAGAGAGTGTACTGAGAGAGAGAGAGTGTGTGCTGACTGACTGGCAGGGAAAGTGTTTTGTGTCCTCATGAGAAATGACGAGGGAAGATTTTTAAATGAGTCATTTTGAATTATGTGAAATGTTTGGCCTTTACATGTCAGCAGCTTTCTGCTTTAGGGGGATCTATGTTGGAGCAAACCGAATAACGGCACGCAACCAACTGCACACTGTGACTGAACAATGCAAGATTTGGTTAAGGGTTGGCTTTTTAGGCATTAAAGGAGTTGTTCACTTTTTAAAAAAACTTGTGCTGATAATTTCCTCACCTCATGTCATCCAAGATGTCCATGTCTTTCTTTCTTCAGTCGAAAACATTCCAGGATTTTTTCTCCATATAATGGACTTCAATGGGAACCAAACGGTTCAAGGTCCAAAACACAGTTTCAGTGCAAACTGTTCAAAGGGCTTTAAACGATTCCAGACGACGAAAAAGCGTCTTATCAAGTGAAACGATCACTCTTTTAAAAAAATAAAAATAAAGTTTAAGTTTTATAAGCTCAAATGGTCGCCTTGCTCTGTACTGTGATGCGCGTTCGTGACTTTCCTGTTCGAACTCGTTTATCAAAATGAACGAATCTTTTTCCGTGTCACTTGGATCATTCAACAAATGAAATGAACGAGCTGACTCGGGAAAAGATTTGTTGATGTTGATGAACTAGTTCAAATAGGAGAGTCACGAACGCGTTTCAAACCCTAACAGAGCAAGGCGAGCATTTGAGCTTATAAAACTTAAACTTTGTTGTTGTTTTTTTAAATGAGCGATCGTTTCGCTTGATAAGACCCTTATTCATCGTCTGGAATCATTTAAAGCCCTTTGAACAGTTTGCATTGAAACTGTCTTTTGGACCTTGAACCTTTTGGTTCTCATTGAAGTGCATTATATGGAGAAAAATCCTGGAACGTTTTCATCAAAAACCTTCATTTCTTTTTCGACTAAAGAAAGAAAGACATGGACATCTTGGATGACATGAGGGTGAGTAAATTATCGGCAAAAGTTTGAAAACCCTTTTTCTTTTTCAGTAACTTTTACAGATTAAGAGTAGGCTATTTAAATAATAATAATTAGTATCTAATTAATGGTATCTAATAATAATAATGTATTAAATATCAAATTAATATTGTAATTTTATTGTTCCTAGTCCAACTGTCATGCTGTAATAACCCATTTAGGTCCTAAACCTATTTAGGTTCTTGCCAATGAACCCATTTAGGCTAATACAATACTGTTTCCATCACCCTATTTATTTAGTGATAATGACCAGCTGATTTTACATTACCCTATGACACAGCTACTTATTAAGAAAAATAAAAAAAAAGGACATTTATTTGAGCTGAAATTTTCTTTCTCTTTATAGGATGGTAATATTAATATTTAAAAAAATGCATAAAATTCCCTAATGCCAGTAACAAAGTCAAATTACATTCAAATGAATTCCCCTAAAATTTTTAGTATATGTTGTAACCTTAGTATGTAGACATTTTATCTTCTGTTAAAACAATGCACTGTTTTGCTTCCTTTATTCGTGACCATATTAACAACATAGCATAACACAGCCTCTCGCTTCACTTTAGATTCCAGCTTCCTGTCACTCTCCATCTCTCGGTCTTTCCGCTTGGTTTGCTCTCATGCACAATCCTATTTGCAGGTGGACCATTGTGATCTGTCTAAATATTACTTCTCCAGCGTCCCCGGTGCTCCACGGCCCCCTGGAGCTCCCGTCCGTCAGGGCTGATGGAGACTCTCCCAGGCAGAAGGCCTCCCTCTACGGCTGAAATATTGATCACAGCAACTCATGGAAGAGCTACCACCCGAAGCCCGTGACAGCACTCGGGTCACAGTGACAAAGACAGAGGTGAGTGATTTCGTGTGATTAGGTATAGCCAGAGGCACTTGTGGCATTTTCAGTCTCAAGTGTGCTGAAAGGGATGGAAACGAAGAGGGAGAAGAAAGAGTTAGAGACAGTGGAAGTGAACCTACTTCTAGGTCCTTTCAACCGGAGTGCCATTTTTCAGGGCAGCTGATTCAGGAATTCAATAATGGATGGGAGTGAGCTCTCTCTCTTTCTCTGTGGAAGAGTAAAAGCTCCAGCTGAAAGGTCATTGATGCTTCTCTTCCAGTCTCACTCTTTATCCTCATTTCCTCCCGGTTCCCATCCTGCTAATCAGTGAGTGACAGCTCAACCCACGTTCTCTCTCTCTACACACACCTGTTTGTCTCTTATCTGCAGATGGAGGGATAATGGTTTGATTGTTGCCTTTGAGGAGTGAAGGAACAGAACATTAAGACGCTGTGCCATTAACGGAATAATGTCCTCTGTTCTTTACACAGCCTGAACAGAAGGTCAAGAAGTCAGTCGTCATGTTCCAAGTGAGCGTGTTCTAGCTAGTGCTTGGGAACATTCGGGAGGTTTAAAGGTAGAGAGATGGTTTCTCATTCAAATGGCAGTTGCAATCTGATTGGTTGAGACCGGTTTCCTTCAGGAATTGGTACGGCTGCCTATCCTGCTTCCCAATAGCCTTATAAAGCCACGTTTCGATAACTGTTCAAGAGAACTAGCAGTTCCCGTGAAACTGGTGCAAAATAAAAATGGATTTTTTTTGTTGTTTTGAATAGCTGCATTTGCATTACAGATTTGCACAAAACTTTTGCAATATTTTCTAAATGTCGATAAAAAACTATTGTGAAATGACGCCGTTTACATGAACAGATGTTTAAGGGTTAGTTCACCCAAAAATGAAAATTAAGTCATTAATTACTCGCCTCCATGCTGTACCAACCCCGTAAGACCGTCGTTCGTCTTCGGGACACAAATGAAGATATTTTTGATTAAATTTGAGAGGTGGATCATTACCACATGGGATCAACTTGACGGTCCAGAAAGTCATTGAAGAAAATGTTTAAATATTCCATGTGTCAACAGTGGCTCAAGCGACGAGAATACTTTTTGTGCAAAAAAAATAAAATAACGACTTTATTCAACTATTCCTTTTCTTCCTTGTAGGCCTGAGACGAGAGTTCAAGAGATTTCCACGACGCATGCGCAAGAACTGCGATCGAACTCTACTACTTCTTCAGTTCTCGCGGATGCGTCATGGAAACTCTCTTTTGAAAAAAAACAAAGTTGAACCATGGCTAAACAGCAATACTCATAGTCTTAGACAAGCCTGCAGAAGAGCAGAACGCAATATTCTATGAGAATCTTTAATATGTATCAAAAAGCGGTGAAAGCTGCCAAATCTGACTATTTATCTGAGATAATTTCGTAAAGCACAAATAATCTCAGGACTTCATTTAATATCCTGAATTCTGTTTTTAATCCAAACTGCAATCCTCAACTTTGTCTAAAGACTTTTTTGAGGATAAAATAGATTAAATTAGACCACCCATTATTCCTTGTACTGATGACCCTACAGATCTTTTGATTCCCACTAGGTTTTTTAATTCCTTTTAGCCGATTGCTTTGCTAGGTTTAATGGATCTAGTTGCTAAGCTGAAGCCTACTATCTCTTGATATTGTTCCTACCCAATTTTCATTTTATTTTACTTGATAGTGTTGGGGATTGGTTTCTGGCAATTATAAATAAGAGCCTTCTTTCTGGATCTGTTCCATCCTTCGGCAAACATGCTATGGTGAAACCTTTTTTTTTTTGAAAACGCCAAATCTGGAAACAACTGTCTTATCACATTTTAGGCCAATTTCAAATTTACCTTTCATCGCAAAAATCTTAGAGAAAGTCGTGTTTATGGCGCAATTGCAGAGCTTTTTGCTAACAAGCAGTATTCTAGAAAAAAATCCAGTCTGGATTTATGAAAAATCATCGTACAGAGTATTAAATTATATTTCATTATTCGTTGATTCTGGGAAGTCCGTATTTTTAGTGCTTTCAGATTTGAGTGCGGTATTTGATACAGTTGGTCATGACATTCTTTTATCACGCCTTAAAAAGTGTGTCGGCATTCAATAATATAACCTTTTCAGTAGGCATAGCACGCTTTACCTGTGGTGTTCCTCAAGGGTCTATTCTGGCTCCCATTTTATTTTCACTATGACACCCAAATCTATTTACCTTTAAAACATAATGAGAAGCAAGGCCTAGAAACCTTGCCTATTCGGTGATGTACGATCATTGATCTCTCTTAATTTTTGAGAGACTGAAGCAATTGTCCTTGTGGGAAAAGGAAAACCAAATATTAAAGGGTTAGTTCACCCAAAAATGAAAATTCTGTCAGTATTTACTCACCCTCATGTTGTTCCAACCCCGTAAGACCTTCGTTCATCTTCGGAACACAAATTAAGATATTTAAGATATTAAGATCGCTCCTGCATACAGTCCATAGGCTTCTTGAGGGACTGGCTCTTGCTGTCCTCGAAAAGTCATTAAAGACATCGTTAAAATAGTCCAAGTGACTACAGGGGCTCAATCTTAAGTTTATCAAACGACGAGAACACTTTGTGCGCAAAAAAACAACAAAAATAACGACTTTATTTCAACTATTCACTTCCTTCTCCATGAGCCTGTAAGTCAGTTAACGTAGTGTGATTGCGTAGAGCTACGTCACACGTAGGCTCACTATTGGCCGACGCTGGTCATGTGTGTGTGATGCGTGTGACGTACAATAACAGAAGCTTACGCTATTAAACTAGTAACCTGACTCGCGCAGAGGGAGAAATAAACGAATAGTTGAAATAAAGTCGTTATTTTTGTTGTTTTTTTGCGCACAAAAGTGTTCTCGTCGTTTGATAAACTTAAGATTGAGCCCCTGTAGTCACTTGGACTATTTTAACGATGTCTTTAATGACTTTTCGAGGACAGCAAGAGCCAGTACCTCAAGAAGCATATGGACTGTATGCAGGAGCGATCTTAATATCTTAAATATCTTAATTTGTGTTCCGAAGATGAACGAAGGTCTTACGGGGTTGGAACAACATGAGGGTGAGTAAATACTGACAGAATTTTCATTTTTGGGTGAACTAACCATTTAATTGTGGTCATTCAAATTCTCAAATCAAACCCACTGTGAAGCATTTGGGAGTTATTTTTGATTTGTCTCTTAAGTTTGACCAACATATAAATTCAGTTTTAAAGTCATGTTTTAAAGTCATCTTAAACTTCAGTTCAAAGTTAGAACTTTTCTATCTGTTAAAGACCTTAAAAGAGTCATTCTTTTGTTTTATCTCGCTTGGACTATTGTATTTCACTGTATATTGGATTACCCTGATCCTCATCTCAAGTCTTCAAATGGTCAAAAATGCCCCAGCCAGGTTTTTAACGGTTCATAAACGAGAACACATTACTCCGATATAAGTGATATACTTCACTTTGAAATAAATTTTTGGTATGTTTTAGCTTACCTCAAGGGCATCCAAGATGTAGGTGCCTTTGTTTCCGCAGTAGTTTCAATTTTGATATTTTTAGGTCAAACCGTTTGTGTCTATCAGCTAAAACATATCAAAAATTAATTTCAAAGTAAACTATCCCTTTAATTGATTGCCAGTGTGTACTGAGTTATAGAGTTGAACTCAAAATTGTGTTTTTAATTAGTCTGGCACCCTCCTATTTGTCAGATCTTTTAAACGTGAATAAGTCAGTAAGATGTCTGCGATCTTCAGACGGTACGCTGTCATATCCAAGATAGATTGAAGTTGTGAGGTGACGGTGCGTTTTCAATGGCCAGGCCTAAAATATGGAATAGTCTTCCTTTATCTGTGAGGTCTGCATCCTCCATACATGAATTTAAATCGAAGTTACAGTCTTATCTATTTACCCCTGCATTTCATTCATTATAAATGTTGGTCTCTTTTAACTCAAACTAAGTTATGTATTGCTTTTTATTTCTGTGGGTTTTTTTTGTATGTTTTTTGGTACAGCACAGTGGTCAACTTTTGTTGTTTATTTGTGCTTTATAAATAAATGAAATGTGTCTGACAGTTGTATAAAGCCAGGCAGTCTTATTGAATTTGACCATTTTTGCCATTGTTGCGCTCAATCTGCATCAGACAGTCAGGAAATGGGTCCATGGCCAATTTTTGTAACAAAAAAAGCTTTTCTTTTGAACTTTATTCATCAAAGAATCATACAAAAAAAAAAACTGCATCACAGTTTCCACCAAAATATTAACCAGCATAACTTTTTCCCAACATTAATGATAATATGAAATGTGTCGTGACTAGCAAATCAGCATATGAGAATGATTTTTGAAGGATCATGTGACGCTGATTTGCTGTATAATTGGAATAATTAACATTTTAAAATATATTCAAGTAGAAAACAGTCATTTTAGATTGTAATATTTCACAATATTACTGTTTTTGTTGTATTCTTGATCAAATAAATGCAGCCTTGGTGATCAAAAGACACTTTTTCTTACAGTATTCTGTATGTACGGTCAAAAGTCTTCTTATACATATCATGTAGGCGGGTATGACTCCATATCGATCTGAATACCTCCACCCACACCCGTTTAATGACCGAGTCACCTTTGAGACTCATGTAAGTCCAGTGTTGATTAGAAGTGTTATGAATTAAAATAAAATAATGTTTTCCCCTTTGACTCTGCAGATCTCATATCTCCTGAAGTCTCTGAGGCTGTGCCATTTGGAGGGTGTTATGCAATGCACAACTCAACCAACAAACATCAAACACACGAGGCTTGAATAAATATCATGAACACAACTTCATATTCACGAGCTCTGCGACGGTCAGGACCTGTGAAAGGTTAGTTGGGGTGTTTGTGTATTATATAAATTCACACTGAAACTGACGACTTTCTGCCAGGTTCTTATGGATCCAGGATCATTCTGGAAGCATCATATGGATGTTTCTGCAAGTTTTTCTTTACTTTGTTTCCACAGATGGATTGAGATATTTCACACTCATACCTCCTACACAAGTTTGTAATCAGCATATGTTGTGCACACCTTAAAAGAGGTGTTAGTTTGCACATAATAGTCAAACAACATAAATTGGTGAATGTGTGCCAAACATTGTAGCAGACAAAGATGGAACGAAATGGTCTCATTTGCATTAGCATGTGTGTCGTGACTCGAGACGTGTTTCACCAGGTTTAACGCCAGTGAAATATTAGCTTTCCGTTGTTACTGAAGTTAAACTTGGGACATTGAGTTTTAGTGCACAATATTTCAATGTACACAAATGAGATATGATGTATATACAGTATATTTAAGTTGCCAGCCACCACCAGCATTTTTGATATTTTTCACAAAACTTTCATGGCCCTCAGAATATTTTGTTGTTTGAACATCTAGACATGCAACATATCAAAAGAAAGAACAGAGAGAACCCTGTTTTATTAGCTTAATGCAATCTTTTTTATATATCAATGCCTCAATGGACCAGTTTCATAAAAAAAGCACAACATTTTGAGCAAAGAGCTGAGAAAAACGGATATTTTTTTATCAAAGACATCCAGATCGGATTCAGAATGATGATCGAAACACGGAGTATAGATCGAGTCCATTAGTACCCCCAAAGCATCACTGTGTGTGCTGGACTCTTGCATTGTCAATACAAGATAGAAAATTGTCAATACAAAAATATTTGCATCTTGATGTAAATATATGTTGTGATGTTATTTCCATCAAGAGGTGCATACATTTTTGTTCAAGATCTTGTATTGACAATGCAAGAGTCCAGTTCTTTGTAAAGTCTAGTCTTTTTTGTATTAAATACTATACGTTTTTTGGTTTAAGTCTTAGTTAAAAAAAGTTTTAAAGGAGTAGTTCACTTTAAAAAAAAAAAAAAAAAAACCTTTTGCTAATAATTTACTCACCCCCATGTCATCCAAGATGTCCATGTCTGTCTTTCTTCAGTCGAAAAGAAATGACGGTTTTTGATGAAAACATTCCAGGATTTTTCTTCATATAATGCAAGGTTCAAGGTCCAAAAGACTGTTTCAGTTCAAACTGATCGAAGGGCTTTAAACGATTCCAGAAGATGAATAAGGGTCTTATCGTGCGAAACGATCGCTTATTTAAAAAAAAAAAAAAAAGTTGAAGTTTTATAAGCTCAAATGGTCGCCTTGCTCTGTTCTGTGATGTGCGTTTGTGACTGTTCCTGTTCGAATCTTTTCCAGAGTCAATTCGTTCATTTTGTTCGTTAAATGAACCAAATGACACGGAAAAAGATTAGTTCATTTTGATGAACAAGTTCGAACAGGAGAGTAACGAACGCACATCACAGAACAGAGCAAGGCGAGCATTTGAGCTTATAAAACTTAAACTTTGTTTTTTTAATGAGCGATCGTTCCGCTTGATTATTCGTCGCCTGCCGTCTGGAATCATTTAAAGCCGTTTAAAGGGGTTGAGGGCACTCTCGCCTTGAACACCAAATAACCTAGAGCCAGCCCTGAATGTAAATGTTTTCAATTATGAGTAGCTAAAATTTCAAAGTTGTTTCCCAAAACACTGCAAGAAAGTAACAAGACTGGATTGCAGCAATATATATGTGGGTGCGATAAATTAGGCCTACATGATTTTCATTTTTCTTTTATCATAGTTCCACTTATTTGCATTTATGCATTGAAAAAGTGAATATTACTGCAGAATCTGATTCTCCCATGCTAATGCGTATCTCTGGTGGTCTATGACAGCTTTATGAATCTGTAGTGAGGTTATGAATGCAGCCTGAAGGAATGATGCAGGGATTTAGATGGGTTTACAGCTTTAAACTTAATCCTAAATTGGAGGGTTTCCTTCCAAACCCCCACATGGCCCAAATCTCTCAATAAAACATGAGAGAGGCAGAAGAAGAGCCTGAATACATATTTAAACAGCCTATTGAATATAGAGAGAATGTGTCTTTGTGTTTAAAGTAGTTTTTTTAACAAGCGTGTCCGTTTAGCAGCCTCATTGTCGAGGCACTTCCTGTGATTTCTGCGTCCTGTGTTCTTTCCAGGCTTGCTCGAGTTTCAAACGCGGCCTGATTCAAATATTCCCTTTTTCTTCTTCAAAAACCCATAAAGTTCTGATAAATGGTTTGAAGAGAGAGGCACTAAAAGGATGAAACTCCAAAGAAGAGACTGAACGGAGTGAGTGCGGTATCAGGTGTGTAAATACGTGTGTGTGAGAGGCCAGCCCTGTCAGTTGTGTTGGATAAACGATGTGACGGGTGAGAGTCTGCTGGAGTGTTTGAGAGGTGGATGAGTCTGTCACACTGATTGATTTTCTTTCTTCAAGCGGCGCAGGCGTCGATGGGGAATGCAAACAAGTGGCCATCTCGCTCTCCACCATCTGCGCTCTGAAGACAGCTTTTCAGCAGCCACAAGCATTCTTCAAATGCTCTTTGGACACCAGTTTGGAAAGTTTGTGCTTCTCACAACTCTCTGTTTTAAACTCTAAAGTCTAAACCTTAGTCAATACGTTTTTCAAAGGTTTTTAGAAGATTGATCTCTTGCGCTTTTGTGAACTAAGGCCACATTCTCTATGCCTGTATGCAAATATGTGCATTGCTAGTTCTCGTACATGGCTAGTACTTGACTTCACTGTAGTTGCGATGTTACTCCAGTACTCAAGGGGGCACTAGAGTTACTTCAAAAGTCTATGCCATTAAACTAGATGAGTTATTTACATCATAGACTTTAGATATATAAAAATGGTGCTGTCATATTACTATGAATGGGAGGGAGAAAGTCGCGCCTTCTAAACGAATTGGCAAAGTCACTGCAGATGCCGTTAGTAGCTCCGGTTGCAATAGAAAGAGGCTGAATCCAAAATCGCACCCTATACCCTCAAAAAGGGCATTATTTTAGGGGACAGCCATTTGTAGTGGTGTCCGAAATCTTAGTGGACATTATTGAGTGTACTCATTCTATCCCACAATGCACCACATGACGGCTCAACGCCTGTCCAAGTTCGCTCACTCGTTTTTATTAATTTCTTCAAGTGAACTGTATTAGTGGACTAACATGGGACATAGTGATTGAGGGTTTGGGGGACGATTTCGGATTCAGCGACAGTCAAAACACAAAACGCGTGGGTTTTTTTGGAGACTCTCCAATGAGAGGGTGAGATCTCATGCTTTCAAAGCTAACTTGCTAATGCTAACCTTTAAACTGGGTGTTTAACATTAGTTGTGCACATATCCCTGGGTCCTGCCATGTTCATGTGCCTTTGTAAGAGGTCTGAAATTAAGGGCCCGTCCACACAAAGACGTGTTACGCTGTATACGTATACATTTTTTATCGTATTGGTGTTTCCTCCACACGGATCCGGCGTTTTGGAAGAGTGAAACCGCGTCCCAAAGTGGATAAACCCTTGCGGTTTCGTGTGTACAGCCAATCCGTATATTTTGTGAAACGATGATGTCATCATATCACGTGTCGGCTGTCACACGCCATCTTTGTCTTGGTTTGTATACAGCACGCAAGGTTATACGTATGCTTAAATTCTTCTTCTCCGTGTATAGTGTATCCCTGTGGCAGAATGACAGCGCCCCATACTGGTTTGGCATATATACTACACCGTTTTCAGTCGGTTTCAGTGGTTTCATGTGTACGCAGATATTTCTTGAGACGGCGCCGTGTTTACGGATTTTTTTTTTTTTAGAACGAGGAGAAAAAATCGGATGGGGAACGCACCGGCTTCGTGTGGACGTGGCCTAAGAGGTCTAGAAGGACTGAAAGTCTGACTTTATTCAAATGCTGTTCTTTTGCAGTTTCTAATTAGGAAGTTGGAAATTCTGACTAGCAATCAACCAGATTTGGAATAATTATTTTTTTAAAATATTTATTTATTTATTTAATAATTTTTATTATTTTGGGGTATTTTTTTTTAGGCTGTGAAATTGAGACATTTTTGAATGTCGAAAAACTTTGAGGGGCAAACTAAAAAAATGACAGTGCACTGCAACATATGGAAGTACAGTATCCATAACAGTGCTTTTTCTATATTGTTCCTAAGAGAGCTTGGATGGCATGCTTCAGGATGTTCCTCGCTGTGGTTTGCCGGATGATAACCTCGGTACGGTGGCCACCAGCATCCTCTTGCCCTCCGGGCCACACGGCTCTCTCTACAGCTGGAGGTGGTACCCGCAAACATGCCTCTCTCTGACAGGCCTCTCACCAAGATGAATTCATCGCCAGCACGGGTTGAAATACTCTGGCCAAAACAAGTAATTTGATTGCCCCGACCGCAAATTAAGTTAGTGTGATTCAATTTTCGATTTGGAGCTATCCAGCAGCCATACATCACAGCAGACATATTTCATTACCCAGCTAAAGAAGGTGGGGGGCGGGGCCAGGGGTGCAGGTCTCCACGGGAAGACATCATAGCAGCATTGTTATGGCACACGTTCACGTCGCTTACACTCCTTTCCTCCCAGCTACAACGTGGCTATTTATAACACGCAGACACATAGGGCTGTCACCGCACGCGCTCATGAGCGCATCTGATATATCTAGATAATTGTGATCGCCTCTGTCCGTTCGGTGAGAGATGATGTAAACAGCATTATCGCCACTGTTTCAGAAAGGAAAAGTGTGTGTGTGTTTAAGAAAAATGACACGCTACCACAGGGTGACGCAAAACGGCTCTTCTTGCAGTTTATGTCTCTGATGGTTGTTGTCCGTTTCCTTGGTGACCGGCCGTCACTGATTGCTCTGACATGAATAATATTCCGTAGTCTGGTGATGTGAAGAAATTAAAATTTGATGTGCTTGTTTCTGTCCTAGTTGGTTATTATTTTATCATAGCCAGTAT